ATTCATTAGTTGATGCATCATCTTTTTGCTTTCTTCTTCCTCAAATCCAAAAGAAATATCACTTAAATAACTTTTTTTATTAAAGTTAAACTTTAATTAAATATATTAATATTTGTCTATTCACATTCTACAATGTTTATTATTTGTATTTTAACTTATGTATTGAAATATGTATAATATTATAATATAATCATAAAGTATTTCTTTATAAGAAGCTCGTAAATGCATATACTGAAGCAAATTCATATGAAAGATTCATAAAATTAAAAAAAAATACAAATAACATTCTTATTTATCATTTAAGAAAATCTTTATTCATATATTTTAACCAAAATTATTTAAAGTGAAAATCTCTTTTACTCGTACCAAAACTAAGAATTCAACAATAAATAAACCCATTTGATTGGTTAACCAATTCCAAAACAGAGAAGAAATATCAAGCTTAATAGTAGATTCATTAATTGAACCCATATTTAGTCCCAAACGCAATCATCAATTCTACCACCAAACATCCTTATGATTAAACTCATGTTTAAAACATTAGACCTACATAATTGATCATTATGAGATGAGTTTGCTACTCACTTTTAATTATAAAGTGAATTGAGATCTGAGAAACTTATGTTTGCACCAAACTTTGAAATTGTGATAGACCTAAACTTGCTCACTATAATATGCGCTAATTTTCTTTATTTAAAGATTCACGATAATCTTTTTTATTTAATCAATTTTTTACTCCAACTTAAACTTTGTACCTCTCAACTAAAATAGATAGGAAACAACTATTTAGGCAAATTAATTTAAACAAAAGTTTATATTAAGCAGAATTTTAAAAATAAAAAAATTATTTAAACAACGAAAGGAAGAACATACCAAAAAAAAGTATGTCAGGATAAAAATTTAACTCCAATTCCAAGTTATGGGCAAAAGATATTATTGAAGTTCATGTTTTAGGAACATAGGACAAAGCAACGAAGAATCAACATAAAGTTATGGAGAGTTAAAAGGGTGTGTAAACAAAAGGTGAGAGTAATTGAGATTTATTAAGATTGTGATTATTTAAATAGTAATACAATTAATTAAAATTTGATTTGAACAAAAAAATTATTTAAGTGTAGGTAATTTAGAAAAATACAATTATAAATTGACAAAAACAACAAAAAAGACTCAATCAAACGAAGAAATTAAAAAACAAACAAATAACAATTAAAGAGCATTCAAGCATTTGATTTATTAATTAGTACATAATCTTTCTTAATATAAGTTCGACTCCTCTTTCCTCAAAACAAAAAAAATAATAAGTTGTTAGTGAGGAGTGTTAATAAATAATTAGGAGTTCAACAAATTAATTAATATTAAAAGGAAAATCCAAAAGTTAACAAAAGCAACAAAAAAAACTCAAAAACAATAAAAAAAATAAGCAAATAACAATTAAAGGATATTAGAGCATTTAACTTATCAAGTAGTGAAAGATCTTCTTATTTAAAAAATATGAATTCAAATCTTCTTTCTTCTAAATTAAACAAAAATAATAATAATCAAAAAGCTCACGTACAAGTTCGATATGATAATTTAAGAAAATTTACATGATACAAACATGGAAATTAAATCCCCCTAAAACTACAAGTTCCTACCCTTCACTTTCCTGTTTCCATGGCTATGGCTATCACGAACCCTGGATATTGCAACCTTACATCAAACCTGGAAACAAATGATCAAGTTGTCGCTGAACATCCCTGGATCTTTTCTTAGGGATTCTCATTAGCTTCTTGTTTCTCATGTTTGAGATACCAAAAAGGTCCTCTTCAATCTCTTTTCTGGACAGCGTAACAGAGAAAGGTGGCTTCCTTTCCTTCTTCTTTGCCGAAGCTCCCACTACTTTCCTCGACTGATCTCTAACAAGATTCTCAGGCTGATCGGTAGTCGTTGTCTGAGTCAGTTTACTTTCGATCATCAACACATTCAAAGAAGAAGATGCTTTGGAAGTCGTGGAGGTTTGATCACTTCCTTTGTCCGAGCGATGATTCGTCGTTGCATTTGCATGGGAGTTAGTAGCAGGATCATCCGTAGCCTTATTACTATTCTTGATACGAATCCTTACAACAATCCTAGGTCTTTTATTATCTGATTGTGGTGGCTTTTTCTCTGAAGGGTCAGCTTCCTGAACCTCCATTATCTTTGGCTGGAACGGCAATCTTGTTGGACAACTGCTGCAAGTGAATGGAAACGTTGGAAGCCATTTGTGTTTAGACTTTAGACAATTTAAAGCCAGGGCATATTATTTATCCTATGGTACAATTCTACTTGCACTATTTACCTTCTACTTGGTCTCTTTTATTTAGTTTTATATATAATTGAGTATTTAATGAATTTTTATGTTTATTTTTAAATTTTTAATCACAAAATAAATTTGTTTTCCTTCCATCCACGGGGATGAGTGTGTCATTTTCTAATTTATTTAAAAAATAATTTAATTAGTGTCACTTTTTAACAATATTCTTCTAATTAATCAAAGGATTCAGCTATAATTTCCAATCACCATGTTAAACATTTTTTAATAAAATTATTTTTCCATCTCCAAATTTATGTACCTTTTTTATTTTTATGAAATTTAAGAAAAAATTTTAATTTTAATGCATTTAATGAAATTTTATGGTTTTAATGTAATAAAATTTTAGATATTAAAATTATTTTACATGTCTTGCATAATTGTTGAATGTTCATATTTTTATGATGTTATTAAAGATTTTTTATAATATGATTCAAATAATAGAAAATTTTTTTGATAGTTTATCCAAATAACTAAAAATATTAAATTCTCAATAAAATATTTTACATACAAAAAATTGGAAAATTATGGGCATTCTCTGTTTTCTATTCAGAGTACTCCCCACTAACAACTTAACATCATAATTTTTTAAATTACTCTCACTTAAATAAATTTTTTTTGTTAAAGTTAAACTTTAATTAATTATATTAATATTTTTCTATTCAAACTTCACAATATTAATTATTTGTATTTTTGCTTATTTATTGACATCTTTACAATTTTTTACTGTAATTGCAACTTAATAAAAAATTGCAACTTAACAATAAGAAACTTGATCGTATGCTGAAGCAAATTAGTATAGCAAATTTGTAGAAACAACTTCAGAAAATAAAAATACAAATAGCATTCTTATTTATTATTTGACAAGCTCATATTTTAACCAAAATTATTTTTAAGTGCAAATGTCCTTTACTGATGCCAAAACTAAACATTCAACAATAAATAGGCTCATTTGATGAGTTAACCAATTCTAAAACAGAGAAGAAAATGTCAAGTGGATTCACTGAATCCATATTTAGTGTCTATTTTCTATAATATTTTTATAAAAAATATTTTTATAATATGATTTTTATAGTGTTACTAAAATTTTTTTAATAATATGATCCAAATAATAAAAAATATTTTTGATAATTTATTCAAATAGAAAATATATTAAATTCCCAATAAAATATTTTACATACAAAAAATTGGACAATTATGAAGAAGAAAAGGGAGAGGTTATTGGCACTCCCTATTGTCTATTCACAATCCCCACTAACAACTTAACATTGTAATTTACTAAATTACAATCACTTAAATAACTTTTTTGTTAAAATTAAAGTTTAATTAAATATACTAATGTTTGTCTATTCACATTCCACAATGTTAATTATTTGCATTTTTACTTATGTATTGAAATCTTTACAATTTTTTAATATAATCGTAAGGTATTCATCTATAAGAAACTCATAAGTCCATATGTTGAAGCAAATTTGTATAGCAAATTCATAGAAACAACTTCAAAAAAAAAATACAAATATTATACTTATTTATTATTTAACAATCTTTATACATATATTTTAACCAAAATTATTTACAAGTGAAAATGTCTTTTACTCATATAAAAACTAAGTATTCAACAATAAATAAGCTTATTCGATATTTTGATCAATTCCAATTCATTGAATCCATATTCAGTCCCAAATGCAATCATCTGTTCTACCACCAAACAACCTTATGATTAAACTCATATTTAAGACGATTAGACATACATAATTGATCATCAGGAGATGAGTTTGGTACCTACTTTTAACTATAACATGTATTGAGATACTTTCACTTGCATCTAAACTTGCGGCAATGATATTCTTCTTTATTTCTTTTTTATTTTCTCTTAAACTTTATACTTCTCAACTAAAATAAATAGGAGTAATTATTTAGACAAATAAATTTGACAAAAAAATTTATACTAAGCAGAATTTCTAAAACAAAAAAATTATTTAAACAAAAGAAGAAGAAGAATAACCCAAAAGAAAGTATGTCAAGATAAGAATTTAACACCAATTCCAAGCTATGGGCAAGAGATTTCATTGAAGTTCATGCTTTGGGAACATAGGAGAAAGCAACAAAGAATCAATAGGAAGTTATGGAGAGTTAAAAGTGTGAATAAATAAAAGGTGAGAGCAATTCAGATTAATTAGAGTGTGCATATATAAATAGTAACATAATTAATTAACATTTGATTTGCATAAAAAAATATTTAAATGAGGGTAAAAAATACAATTATAAGTTATTAGTAAGAAGTGTTAACAGACAATTAGGAGTTTTGATAACCCCATCCAGAAAAATATCAATTAATATTAAAGGGAAAATCCAAAAGTTGACAAAAAACAATAAAAAAAACTCAAACAGAAAAAGAATAATAATAAAAAAAATCAAACAAAAATTCAAGAACACTTAAAACGTTTGATTTATTGATTAATATATAATTTTTTATTTTTGAATTTCTTTCTCTCAAAACAAAAAAAATTAACAATTAAAAAAATTCAAGGACAAACAATACGATACTTTGGGACAATTTACAGAAAATATAAACATGGGAATTAAATCCCACTAAAACTACGAGTTCCTACCCTGTACTTTCCTGATTCCATGTTGGCCATGGCTATCACGAACCCTGGATATCGCAACCTTACATCAAACCTGGAAACAAACGATCAAGTTGTCGCTGAACATCCCTGGATCTTTTCTTAGCGTTTCTCTTCAGCTTCTTGTTTCTCAAGTTTGAGATACCAAAAAGGTCCTCTTCAATCTCTTTTCTGGACAGCGTAACAGAGAAAGGTGGCTTCCTTTCCTTCTTCTTTGCCGGAGCTCCCACTATTTTCCTCGACTGATCTCTGACAAGATTCTCAGGCTGATCGGTAGTCGTTGTCTGAGTCGGTTTACTTTCGATCATCAACACATTCAAAGAAGAAGATGCTTTGGAAGTCGTGGAGGGTTGATCACTTCCTTTGTCCGATCGATGATTCGTCGTTGCGTTTGCATGGGAGTGAGTAGCAGGATCATCCGTGGCCATATTACTAGTCTTGATACGAATCTTTATAACAATCCTAGGTCTTTTGTTATCTGATTGTGGTGGCTTTTTCTCTGAAGGGTCAGCTTCCTGAAACTCCATTATCGTTGGCTGATCGGAAACTCCATTATCGTTGGTTGGAACGGCAATCTTGTTGGACAATTGCTGCAAGTGAATGGAAACGTTGGAAGCCATAATCTTTGTGTTTAGACCTTAGACAATTTAAAGCCAGGGCATACTATTTATCATATGGTACAATTCTACTTGCACTGTTTATCTTCTACTTGGTCTCTCTTATTTAGTTTTATATATAATTGAGAACTCAATGAATTTTTATTTTTATATTTTTAATCACACAATAAAATTTTTTTTCCTTCCATCCACGGGGATGAATGTGTCATTTTCTAATTTATTTAAATAATAATTTAATTAGTGTCATTTTTTAACAATATTATTCTAATTAATCAAAGGATTCAGCTATAATTTCCATTCACCATGTGAAAATTTTTTTTAATAAAATTATTTTTTCCATCTCAAAATTTATGTTACCTTTTTTGTATGAATAAAATTTAATTTTTAATGTATTTAGTATTAGAATTTTATTTTTTTATGAAATGGAAATTTTATGATTTTAATGTAATAAAATTTTAGATATTAAAAAGACACATAATTTTGAGAAATTTAAAAGAAAATATTGAAAACAAACAGAAAACTATTAACTCTTCAACGCTTGATATATTTGCTCGAAGATAAAAATAAAAAGCACATGGCCCATAAAAAGCTACGGTCGGCTCGGCTCAATAGTTTCCCGCCATTTTCAGCTTCTCTCACTCTCTCTGCGAAATTAGGGTTCTGTAATTCCATGGTGTGATCGAATCATCAGCTAGGGTTTCAAATTGATTTCGACTTCTCCTAAATTTCCCCATGCCCAAAATCACCGATATAATCTGCAACTGATCGATTAGTTCGCTGTTCCTTGTTCTTCCTATGGAGGAACCTCGCGTTAAACGCCTCAAAATTTCTAGGTCCGGACACTCTGCTTTTATGCTTTTAGTCGTTTAGTTGCTGTATTCTTCATGGTGGTCGAAAATTAGGGTTTTTTTTTGGTTAAAATTTTCCTTTATCTTTTCTTTTGGGTGATTTTCAGTGTCAGGATTGGTTGCCGAGAAAGCGAGGGAAAATGTGGGAAAAACAAGGATCCGAAATAAGAGAAAACTCGGGACTTGAATTCTGAATTTTGGTTTGTTGTTGATAAGAGGAGATACAAAACGTTTTTGATTTTTCACTTTTTGTTTTTTTCTCTGTTTGTTTCGTGGGAAAATGAGGGTAGGAAAAGAAGGGAAATTGCGAGAATCTTTAGGATTTTTGTTTCATTTATACGTTCCGCATACATTTCGTGCAACCATGTAATAGGCTGAATGGATTTTTGACTTTCTCTTTTCTTTTTTCTTTCAGGGGCGAAGATGACTATCTGCCTGGAAATATCACTGAGATTGAGCTTCATAATTTCATGACCTTTAATCACTTGGTATGCAAACCAGGGTCACGATTAAATCTTGTCATAGGGCCAAATGGTTCCGGTAAGAGCTCTCTTGTATGTGCCATCGCACTTTGTCTTGGCGGTGAACCTCAGGTTGGTAATGTTTCATTGATTGTTATAGCTCATATTTTATAGACTGTAAAAGACTGTGGTGTTTGATTTGTGCAGTTGCTTGGGAGGGCCACAAATATTGGAGCATATGTGAAGCGTGGGGAAGAGTCTGGGTATATTAAAATTTCATTGAGGGGGTACACTAAGGAGGAGCAAATCACCATTGTCCGTAAAATAGATACACGCAACAAGTCGGACTGGTTGTACAATGGTTAGATGTTTAATTCTTGATATTGCAATCACTCTCCATCAGAATACTTTTGGTCGATCATGGAATATTTTTATTTTTCATGGTTAGATTTGATTGAAATCATAGAGCTTTAAAGTCAACTCTAGGAGCTACTTGTGCATAAATTTGTAAGGACTCAATATATCTGTGATTTTTCCTCTTGTTTCTTGTAAATAAGGATCTTTCATAGCACAAAATTTTCTCTCCACTATTAGTGGGTTGGCTGGTGACTGACATGATTTTTTTAGTTAAATTCCATGGATAGTATTTAGGCTACCTTGTATTCAAGGTGTTCAGTATGTTTTTCTTAAGGGCTTTTCTGTCATCTTGTATACATATTTTTTGTCAAGTTTTTTTGTTTGTGTATGGTCCCAGTTTCTTTTAAATTAGTTGCTTGGGAATCTCTCTCTCTATTTATGAAAGAAGCTACCAATTGGGTATTAAAGGTTTGATTTAGCATTCTGCTTGTTAGAAAAAATGGAAAAATTGTAACATCTTTTCACTTACAGGCAAATCTGTGCCCAAAAGAGAGATACTGGAAGTAATTCGAAAATTCAACATCCAAGTCAACAATTTGACGCAAGTGAGTTTTAGAACTTCCAACTTGGAGATTACATGCATTATCTTTCTTGGCTCACATACATGACTTACTTCGCATATCTGATGTCTCTGTATGACATAATTCAGTGATTTTGAGCTTATTTCCTATAGAGCTTGTTTTTTCTGAACTAGCTAGTCTTAGTAGTTTGTATAATTTCATTGGGCAAAAAGGACAATCTTAAAATCTGTCTTTTGTGATGTTTGTCAATGAAGTGTAGGGTTTTGATATCCATACAGGAGGAGAGTATGATCATATGGATATTGCACTATTGCTTTTTAGCATGAGGTTGCTCTGTAAGTGAAAAAGAATAAATTGTTGAACCTGGAGCCAAAGTAAAAGACCTATAAAGGCATATAGATTATTATCCATTTTTACTTTTATTTGTTTTTGATGGAATGGATTATTATCTAATGCCGGTTCTCTCTGCATAGTCTTCAAAAGAGTCTCCTAATATGGTCCTAACTTTCAGCCTTTTTGGCATGAAGTGGCTTGAAACGATGGACTTAATATCCAACTTAGAGGAGTTCACCATTGCACTTTAGGTATTTCTTAACCATCAGGTTTTTATGAACAGCAGCCTCTCTATAACATTTGAATTATATATGAAATAGTCAGCCTCGGTCTTAAACAAAAATTCATAGTCATTAAAATATACTTCTTTGTCCATTCTGACTTTTTTGATTTATTATCATACTTTTTAGTGAATGCAGTGTGGGTGTGATTTAAATTATCTCTTTTGCCTCTCTCTTTCTCTAGCCCTTTTTGCCCTCCCATAATTTGTCCTACCATATCATATATGGAAAGGGTGATGGATATTTGATGGATGCAAAACAAGGTTTTTATTCAAATTTTAGCAATATAGAAGAGCAATTCGTGCTTCTAACTAGTTTGAGATTTACACTTGGTTCCAAACTTGTATTTCCTTCACTGTTTGTTAGATTTGAAATTTTCGTACTGTCTTGGATGGGTTGTAATTTTTTATTTATGTTCTGCAAGTATCTGTGTTTTTTTCTCTTTTTCCTTGTTACAGTATCTGCTTAAGTGTTCAATCTCTTTATGTTGCTCTTTTTTTTTTTTTTTGGGGGGGGGGGGTGGTTGTTGTTCTGGCATAGTTCTTACCGCAAGACAGGGTCTGTGAGTTTGCCAAGTTAACTCCCATTCAGCTCCTCGAGGAGACTGAAAAAGCAGTTGGTGATCCTCAACTCCCAGTGCAACATTGTGCTCTTGTTGAAAAAAGCTGTGAACTGAAAAGATATCAAAAAGTGAGTTCAAACTGTCATTTTCCTGGTGTCATTGATTTTATGAAGCAATGCCTTTGAACTTCACCCAATTTATTTTAGGCTGTAGAAAAAATGGGAGAAAGTTTGAAACAGCTGATAGCCCTTAATGCTGAGCAAGAAAAAGATGTTGAGCGTGTCCGCCAAAGAGATGAACTTCTGGAAAAGGTTTGCCTCTTGTCTTATTTATTATAACGTAAGTGCTCCATGTCATACTGATGCCTTTTTGTTGTAAATTTTAGGTTAATTACATGAAAAAGAAATTGCCTTGGCTGAAGTATGATATGAAGAAGGCTGAATACCTTAAAGCCCAGGAAAGGGAAAAGGATGCAGAGAAGAAGTTGGATGAAGCTGCCAAGATACTGAATGAATTTAAGGCACCCATTGAGTATGATGACTTGGTTCTTATGATTGTATTAATAACTTAAATATTCATTTCTCCTCCCATGCAACAGATATTGCTTGATAAGAAATACTTACAACTTTTATTGTGGATTGCTGTTCACTTCACGCGTGTAGACATTGTACATTTAGGCTGCATTTCAGGCCTTAATTTGCATCAGTTTCTGTTTCAAATATTTTTTGTCTGTTAGAAAGTCATTCCAATGTTTTTATGAAGAATAGTGACCACTAACATAACTAAATGACCATGGTTTTGTTTTGTTAATAGTACATTCTTTATGAAAATTCATAGCTAAATAATCTGAATCTTGATCCTGAAGATTTCATTTGTCTGCTACATGCCCATAACTATTGACTTTGACTTTTTACTCCTCTGAGCACCTTGTTTATTGCTATATTCCTGTAATCATGGTGGAAATTTTAATCAGTAAATTGATGGTTGCAGAAAACAAAAGCAGGAGAAAGCGAAGCTTGATCATAAATGTAAACACATTAGCAATCTCATGAATGAAAATGTTAAGAAACGTATTGATCTTCTGCAGAAAGAAAATGAGGCGGTGTGTTGAACGTTTTATATCTTTTTTGCAGTTTTTTTTATGTAGTTGCATGAATGGTTGTATCATGTATATTGATCTAATGAGTCATTACACACTTTAGGCAGTGCAAGTGCGAGGTAAGTACAAGGAAGTGGAAGATTTGAGGAGAGAAGAAGACTCTCGCAAACAAAGAATATTAGAGGCTGAAAGGAAACTTGCTGCTGCTGAACAGGAACTTCAGAACCTGCCTGCGTATGAGCCTCCTAAGGAGGAAATTGTGAGTCATATTAATTGGCATTTTTTGTTATTATTTCTTTGCAATCCCTGAGCCTGAGGTAGCTTGGTATTGCGTAAACTGGTTGTAAACCATGACTTATACATAACAGACTTATATGTTTTTGAAAGTTTATGATAAACTATAACAACCTCTGTCCCAAAATATTAATCTCCGTTTACAATGCACAAAATTTGAGTGGTGTAGTTGGTTTTGGCATGGGTGTAGCCTTTTGCTCTCAATGATTGGTTATGTTTTGTCTTTTTGTGATGATTTATAACAGAGTGAATCGGTGCAAGAGTAAAAAAAAGAATAAATGATTATCTACTTTTGGTAAATAGGGAAATATTTCACCCAAATTGGAAATATGAACTAATTCTCTTTTGGGACATAGGGAGTGTTACTCTTTTATACAGCTGAGATTATAATTAGAAGATATGCCCGATGTAATGGCTTACAAGAATTCGGTAGGATAATTTAACGTAATGTTTCACTTTTGTCTAAATATTTTACTGATGTTCCTTCTGCTGTATATTTTTGGCAATTTTAACAACTGGCCTTCTGATTTTGAGCAAAATTCTTCTCACCAGGACAAATTAAGTAGTCAAATTGTGGAGCTAACTTCTTCTGCTCGTCAAAAGATGCAGCAGAAGAAGGAGAAGGAAAAATCTCTAGGCCAAATGAAAACAGCCCTGAGAAACTGTATGGATAGGTAGTTTTTAAGCAGTTAAAGTTCTGCTCATACGCTTTTTAAAATTTTTGAACTTCTTTTGTTGATTTCTTTGATATTTTCCCTTTTTGCAGTTTGAGAGATATGGAGAATACAAACACCAAACTTTTACGTGCTTTACGGAATTCTGGTGCAGAAAAGATATTTGATGCTTATGAATGGGTTCAACTGCATCGCCATGAACTGAACAAGGAGGTTTATGGCCCTGTATTGCTTGAGGTACATGTTTCATGGTTCAGATTATTGTATTTATTGCTAATAATAACTGCATTTTTTGCTGACTATATAAATGCAAGCTTAGGTGAATGTTGCAGATCAGGTTCATGCTAATTTCTTGGAAGGTCATGTTGCTCACTACATCTGGAAAGTACGCTCTAAAGTTATTGTTTTTTATTATTATTATTATATTTCTCATATTTAACAATAACAAGTAGAGGTTTCAAAATTGGAGTGCTTCTCATTTTTGTTCATTGTGAGTTTATTTATGTCAACCAGATGCTAAGAGTCTCTGTTGCTTCTATTGCATTCAACATATATTTACTTTGTCCTGTATGAGGTTTATGCCTGTTGCCCATTTCACTGTCCGGAGTCCTTAGTTATGCAAGGAAATTGGCTAGAAAATGACTGGAGAGAAAATCTGGTAGGCAATGATGCATAGTAGTCAAGATCTTCTGCATTAAAGTTTTGACCAATTTGAGCAAAGGAGCTTAGTAAATAGAGTGCAGTGCTCACTCATGGGCCAAAAAAAATACCATATTGACATGAATGCAAGGGTTGCACATTGATGCTTTCTTCTAAAGCTTTCCCTGATGGCCAAAATGCAGTGTGTAGGGCTGTAAATGAACTGTGCAAATCCAAGTTTTGCCTTGTTTAGGCTCAACTCAGCTAAATTTATTGAGCTAGAACTATAATTGAGCTCAACAGCTGAAGAAGTATTTTTGAACATGGCTTGGCTTTGTCAAGTGAGCTCTAAGCCGAACATGATCCCTTACTGAGCTCTTGGCTTAAGCCAGAGCAATGGCTAAACCCCAACGAACTTAAGGCTTGAAACTCAAAGTACAATGGATGAAAAGTCCAACTGTAGCTTGCCAACGGTAAGCCAGAATCATGGGCCAAAATGGGTCTTGATGTTAAATACGTGCAGGACCCCATCAAAGGTTCAAAGAATGTGCGAGGGAGGGGCTCATTAGAGGCAGCCTCCCCCTTTTACTCGTTTCAGCTGGCAATGTGGGATTAACAGGGGAGAGAAATTTTCTTCTCTTTTTGCATGTCTTAAAACTTATAATGTCTCCTTTTTTTAAGCACACAACAAATTTATTCTGCAATTATTCAAAAGATAATTAATGATTTATAATCATGTTATAACTATTTTTCTGTAATATAAAGATTAAATCACAATTTGAATTGTATTAAAGTGTGTTAATCTTTAAAAGGTCAACTTGTTACGAATATAACAAACTATCATTGAGCTTGTTCATAAATGGTTTATGAGCATGTTCATGAACATAAACAAGTTGAGCTTACTGATGTCCAAATTCTGTTTGTTTATTATTTGAGCTAAAAATATTTTTCAAACTCGTTTATTAAGCTTCATAGATGAATCTAAACGAGCTCTAATTGAGCTTGTTTATTAACTGTTCAATAGACATTCACTTTTAGGCCTAGCAATATATGTATTGGCACAGAGTGATTAACTGTTACTTCCAGTAATTGGGTTTAGTAGGATTGCGGAAAGGAGAGCTTTATGTCATTTTCAGCATGAAAAATAGTGAGGGTGGTATTTGAGCAGAATTTTTCTTTAGGCTAACTGCTAAGTCATTTGCTAGAAATAAATTGATGTCTTTTTAAGAATTCAAGATTGTGGCAGGGGTTGCATGGGTGCATTCTCATGCAAAGTCTGGTAGACTAGATCTAGTGGAAGGCTTTCAACTATCACACCTTTTGACAACGTTCTCATTTCTCATATCTATTGTTAGTTGGCATGGTAGTCTATGCTTCTCATATTGTGATTGAAGACTAGGAGCTGTTTCATCCGCATACTGCTCGCAAATCGCTATGTGATATATAATTAAAAGAACTATCAATTTTAGAATCAGATTTTTTTCTTTGTATCATTTGGTTGATTTTTGACTTGCGTGATGCCTTCTAGATTATTCCAACACTAGACTCCTTAAGATATGGAATCCTGCAGATTGTGTTATAAACTTAATAAGAGCTACTTGCTCAAAAATGAAAAAAGTGATCTTTGGTTCTGAAATATTCTACTATCTCCAATTTTCATAATTATTATCTTTAGAACTCCCTCTCTCTTTTGCTCTTGCTTTCCTTCTTTTCGTTGCAGGTTATGCAGTGAGGATATCATTTATCTGGTTTCTGTATTCATCTTGTATTTTTATTTTCATTTTTTTCAATAAAGTGCTGCATTACTTATCTATACAAGACTTTCAACATGTGATGTAAATTTTACTGTTTCATAGGAAACAACAATCTTCTGTTTATTACGTTTCCTTTTTTTTGCTTTGCAGTCTTTCATTACTCAAGATTCTGGTGATAGGGATTTTCTAGTAAAAAACCTACAGTCATTTGATGTTCCCATTTTAAATTATGTAAGAGATGAATCTGGTCGGAAATCACCCTTTGAAATTTCTAAGCAGGTACCTGTCACTGATTGCCCAATTCAATATTTCATCCAAGCAGATCTTAGCAAGTTAATGTTTGTTTTGTGTTTTCTGTTAATTGGGCAGATGCATGAACTTGGCATCTATTCCCGGCTTGACCAAGTTTTCGATGCTCCCACTGCTGTAAAGGACGTTTTGACATCGCAGTTTGGTCTGGAGCATTCAGTATGCCTTAAACTTCCTCGGTCAACATATATTTTTCAACTGAATTTTTAAAGATGTAATTTCTAATACTGTTTTCTTGCTTTTACTTGCTTCCATCAGTATATTGGGTCAGATAAAACTGATCGGAAAGCTGATGATGTTGCTAAATTGGGAATTTTAGATTTCTGGACTCCTCAAAACCACTATCGGTGGTCTGTTTCTAGATATGATAATCACCTATCAGGAACTGTAGAATCTGTTCGTGATTCACATCTTCTACTGTGTGGTATTTCCTTTCTAACCTTTCTCTAGATTGACCTTAAATCTATGAACTTGAATTTTCTGAGCTGCTGAGTCTTCTTATTTATTTATATCTCTCTTTTTAAGGTTTGGATACCGGGGAAATTGAAAAACTGAGGTCCCGAAAGAATGAGCTTGAAAACTCTGTAGCTGATATGGAGGAAGGCATAAAATCATTGCAGATTCAGCAAAGGCTGTTGGAAGATGAAGCAGCCAAACTTCATAAACAGCGTGTATACTAAAAGAATAAGAGTTTCTTTTCATTGCTTTTTTATTTTATCAGAATGTTATATGCTGAGTTGCTGACACATGAATATGTATTTTGAATTGCTTTATGTTGTGATTTTGTATGCCCAACTTGGAATAAAATTGAGTATTAAAAGTATGGTTGTCTTGTGGAACTCATTTTTCCACATGCATCTAATTCATACTTTCTGCAGGAGGAGATGATCAATATTGGGAAAAGGGAGAAGCAAAAACGGCGGGAAATGGAAAGCTGTGTTGGTTAGTTCTGTATTTTCATCAGTTGCCATAGAGAGTTTCTTATTCCTTCTCATCATTTATATACAATGAATGTCTATACAAATGTGACTATAGAACAAAGGCAAAAAAAATTAGCATCCTTGGAGGAAATTGTTGACCTGGAAACGGCCGTGGCTAAGCTTATTGATCAAGCTACGAGATCTAATGTTCAGCGGTTTAAACATGCAATTAAAATTAAGGTGAAGATGCCTTTCAAGCTCATGTTTTGTGTTGATCTTTCCATGTCATTGTTTTGTTGTGCAGACAATAATTGGAAACTGTGTCAGAAACAAATTACAAATTGGCATTTGTTGTGATGTAATATATGTGCATTGAGTCAGTTACTTGGTTCCTAAATTCTTAGTTCTTTCACCATTTTGTTTTAACAGGATTTACTTGTGGAAGCTGTTTCCTGCAAATGGAGTTTTGCTGAAAAACATATGGTCTCCATTGAATATGATGCAAAGGTATCTTTGGTGAAATTTACATGAGTAACTTTCTTTTCTATTGATTGGGTAAATTACACTTGTTGTCTGCGACACTTTTTACAAAGTTTATTTTTATCTGTGACAAAATTGTCATGTGTCCTTTATTTAAATGTGTCAAAATCATATCTCCACCAGTCATCATTACAAACTAGACAGAATCCACCATGTGTTGGCCATGTGGCATGTGCATTTTATCTTATAACTCTTTTTCTATTTCTTTCTTTTATTTTCTTTTTCAAAATTACTCTGTCCTCTCTCAGTCACCACTCTCTCTCTCTGCCTAATCTCCCAGCCTCTGCCATTGCCCCAGCCACCATTAGCAGGTGGTGTTGCCAGCATGGCTGGAAGCTCTCCAGCTCTCTTGTTTTTCTTCTTTTTTCCCTTTTATTTTCTCTCATCCTTGTTTCTTCACCTCACCACACCACCCCCCCCCCCCCCCCAAACCCGGCATGCAGTGTCTCTCTCTCCCTCTCCATTGTTTCTTTCCAAATCTATCTGTCTCAGCAGTGCCTCTACCTGGCTGATGGTAGACGGGAAGATGGCCTGGTTTGGTGCTTCCCCTCCCCCATGTTGTTTCTTCCTTTTCTCTCTTAGCAATTTCTATTTGTGTTTCTTTCTCTGTTTCTTCCTCTTAGTGCTGGATTCAGTTGTCCAATGCTAAGGTGGTTACTAGATGGCTAGATTCAGTGCTTACCCTCAACTTTGTTCTCTATCTCTGTTTTTCGTAAAAGGGGCAATCTGGATTTCTGCCTATCGCACTTGTGACATGTGGCATGTGGACTTGATGTGGCAATTTTTGTCAAGTCTCTAATGTCTGTTTGACATTTGGCATTTTTATAAAACTCGCAGACAATATTTGAACTTTCTTTTTGTTTTGTCATGGATGGCAATGAAGCTTTGAAAAAATCAAGGACTGCAAGTATAAGTTACCTTTATTGATTGAATGTTATGGTATTTCTGATTCATCAATCCCTAGTTTTTGTTGGCTTTGCATGCAATGTTATAGATTAGAGACTTGGAAGTCAATCTCAAGCAGCATGAGAAGTTTGCTCACCAGGCTTCACTGCACTTAGAGTATTGTGAGTTATTTACTTATTTTTGTATAATCTAGAATCTTTAAATGTAATTAGAGATTCATCTCTTGATAGAAACTTGTTGCCTTATGCATTTAGTGTACAGAACTGTCTTATTGCATTTTACTAAAAATAGTTCCAGGTTCATCTGTTGCTAGAAATTTTCAGATTTCATTGGTGGCATGCTTATATGCAGATTTACTATTCAGAACTCTATTGCTTCTTACTTTGTAGAAGTAATCTTTTTTAAAAAATAAAAGTTTGAAAAAGTTTACATTAGTGCATTCCTTTGCGTGACTAATGCTAATGTAAATGTTTCAAAAAGTAAGTTCTTTGGGTGGATTTAGTTTTTTCCATTGATGGGATTATTGTATATCCCCATGTAGTGGGGAAAGGCTTAGTTTGTTATTGTTCTTGTTGAATGGATTTTAGTATATACGGTTTCATTTCTTGTGTATAAGGAATATTTTTTATAATTTAATATCCTATATACTTTATAGCTTAGATGGTCCCGACGTGCATGTACTTTTGGCTCTAATGATTTGTGTTGACTGACAATCTAAAACCAATGATTTACTTATTTTCTTTACAAGGATATTCTGGAGTAATATGTTCGAGAATCTCCTGGGAGTTTTTATCATGGCAAATATTATTTTTTAAGTACTGACTTTTTCCAATTTTCCTTTTGATAAGGTAAAAAAGATGTAGAGGATTGTCATCAACAACTGTCTGCTGCCAAGAGGCATGCTGAAACAATTGCCATCATTACTCCAGAACTTGCAAAGTTATTTCTTGAGGTTTGTTTTTGTTTCAAGTTGATGTAGAACCCAGAAAATTAATTATTCCCTGTGAATTTATTGTGAGAAACTATTTTTCTGGCTTGGAAATTTAGATGACTAAAAGTTCACTCAGTTTAGAGAGTTAAATTCATCACAAATTCACAATTGTGATTCCAGGCATGAATGGAGTAAATCTGCATAAAAGCAGTTATGCAGGACAATTAAGAAACAAGTTTGGCTCAGTCCCAGGAGAATATTGATTAACAAATGAACTATATGTGCATGTAAAATTGGACCTTAGCTAACTTTTTGTGTATCAAGCTTGATTAATCATGGATTGAGACTCATATGCAATCAACAAAACTGCTTTTGTTATTCTGTCATTAGGTTAGATGATGAGTTGCATATTTTAAGGCCTTGGCTAATTTGTATTTTACAGTTTTCTGGCTTTATTTTATAAATAGGAATTAAAAATGATGAAGACTCTTCTTTTGTGTTTCATGTAATTTTAATGCGTGTGAGATGTTAATTTCAAAACCTCTTTTGGAACACTAGCTTGTATCATCAGTTCAACATGAATTCTTTGTGCTTTTTTATTCTTTAGATTTTTTTATTTTATTTAATTCTTCCATGTTTACCTGAAGATGCCAACTACAATTGAGGAATTGGAGGCTGCTATACAAGACAATATTTCACAAGCCAATTCTATTGTCTTCCTAAACCAGAATATACTGCAGGAATATGAAGATCGTCAGCATCAGGTGTTTTTCTGATGTCTTCCATTTTTTTTTCTTGGTATGCTACTGAAGTCTCATCCATAGTGCATTAATATCACAGATTGAAACCATTTCTGCGAAACTGGGAGCAGATAATAAGGAACTACAAAAGTGCTTAGCCGATATAGATGCCCTGAAGGTGGGATAATCTTCTTGCTTCTTGTTGTAAATAGGACTTGCTGCATTATGAAAGTAGGTTTTGTTACTGCTTCCTAGTTAGTGGTAATGATTGATTATGACCATGTGAGGCCTGAAACAGAGACATCCATTATTTGGAATGTGTGTCTAAAGGCGACTTCACAGTTGGCTTTCTATAACATGTCTCACCTCCTATTTCCAGCTGTCTCCTCTCGCTCCTGTTCCTTTTGTTTTCATTCAGATTTCAGAATTTTCTTCAATGAATTCTCAACTTTAAATTGTTAACAGTCTGATCAAATGGTCAAGATAATTCAAGAAGTTCTTTGTTTTTTCTTTATTGCAAATAAAGAAACTGGGTTTTCATCTTATGCTAGGTTGTCTCCTCTCAATATCCTGTGTAGTCCTAGTGCATGGTCACTGTTACTTGCTTTTGTTTGGTTGTTTATTTGCCACTTTTTTGCTTAAAGATGTGTTCAAAACAAAAATAGATACTAGTAAATTTGAATTTTTAACAATTTAAAACTACTTTACCAGGTTATACTGGTTCTTTGGATGAATAAATTCAGAGTCACAAAAAAAAAAGATAAATAAATAAATGAAGTTTTGTAAATATTAAAATGCATGTTTTTACTTCTAAAAGAAGTATGACTTTACTTTATATAGAACTATTGTCTTTGTATGTACGTTATATTTAAATTATTTACTCATGTTTAATCAAATATGGTTTTGGTTATCATTTGCTGTTGGTTTTTTGCAACTCTTGAAGAAGTGAAAACAAGTAGCAAGAAGAGCCTTAATCTTTTCCTTCTCCAAATATATCTTGTTATCATTTGCTCATGAATTTGTCTCTTTTAAAGCTGTCTGTCTCTTCAAGTTAATATTGTTTCCCATGAATTGATTATTGACTTTGGTTAGCCATCTAATGAAGCTTTTGAAGGCTTACACCCAACCTTGTCGGGACAGGCTTGGTGGTGTTTTTTTTTTTACTACTAATTCCTCTGTTGATTCTCAGACAATTTGGTGGTTATACCATTTTATTTCTTTTTTTCTGATGGTTATCTCAAATTTGTTTCAATACCTCAATTAGATCTTGTCACTTACATGCAGGGAAATTGGCTTCCAACATTGAGAAATCTTGTTAATCAGATTAATGAAACTTTCAGTCGCAACTTCCAAGAGATGGCCGTTGCGGGAGAAGTTTCATTGGGTATCATATATTATTATCTTTTAGAGAGTTCATTATGTCCTGAGCTGTGGCTGCCTGTTCTGATTTAATGTTTTCTTTCAGACGAGCATGACACCGATTTTGATCAGTTTGGAATACTTATAAAAGTCAAGTTCAGGTGGGTTTCTTATGGTTTGCGATCAGGTTTTTACACTATTAAAAATAAATATGAGGTTTTGATGTTTTAGTTTTTGAGTGATACCAGGGATATGTCTGCTATATGGGATCATTTACAATTTGAACAAAATTTATTGAACATAACAGCTAATTTTTTAAAGGGTGATATTTGCAGTATTGGCAGATCTATGTAATCCATAAACTGACATTACATTAAAGGGTGTTGGCATTTGCGATTCATGTGCTCATGACTTATGATGTCTGGTTTTAAAATAGCTCAATGAATAATTGTCTTCAAGGTTAATATTTTGAACATAAAGGCCCTAATGCAACTTGAAGATTTAGTAAATGTTAGACCTTGTGTGTTTTTTTCTGCCTGGGAATCCATTCACCAATACACAGTTCTCATCAAGGTCACTATGGCTTAAATTCTGGGGTGATTTCTTGACTGATAGAGATGCTGCTGACTCGAGAATTCCAGATCTAAGTTTCTCATTGGCAAGCAAATAACTACGACTCTAGTGTGATGTAGTTCTATTAGAAATATATCATAAAAAGGACTTCGTTAGTTGTGATTGTGACTCCACCATTCTGTACTTTTGATCACTTTTTTGCCAGTTGGACCGGAATAAATGAAAACTGAATGACTCCAGCTTTACCCTTGCTCAATCCATAAAAAATTGGAGTTAAACTGAGCCCTTTAGAGAGTATAACTTTGTCAAATACCTATTTTTTGAGATTGATTCTGTATATTTCCCTGTTTGTAATAATTTGTCACTTGACAATTGATAGTGAGAGAATAATTCTTCTGTTTTGTTTATGGGTCTAGCTGCAGTGTAAGTTATATTTCCATGGTATCAGTCACTACTTTGAGTTTTATAATATATGATGATGATTCCAAGACCATGTTGTTTTCTACAGTAGAATTGCAGATGTGATTTATGTTTTTGTAATTTTATTGCTCTTTCTTGGTTTATTATTATCCAATCAGACAAACAGGTCAACTTCAAGTACTCAGTGCTCACCATCAGTCTGGAGGGGTATTTAAATTCAAATTCTTTTATTCATGAATGTGATTTGGAAAAGCATTTTCTCACTGCAATTTTGAATTTCCCCTTTGTAGGAGCGGTCTGTTTCAACTATTCTTTATCTTGTTTCTCTTCAAGATCTTACTAATTGCCCCTTTAGGGTGGTTGATGAGATTAACCAAGGTAAGCCCCAGTCAACTTCTAGACTGCCTGTTACAGATATGTACCGCATGAAAATCATCATGGTTGATTTTTCTGCTTTCTTTCTTTCTTTCCTTCTCCCAGGAATGGACCCCATAAATGAAAGGAAGATGTTTCAGCAATTAGTAAGAGCTGCCAGCCAACCTAACACACCACAGTAAGAACTAACATTAGCAGGAAATGTTATTTCTTTTTCTGTTTTATTTGTAACTCCCCTAGTTTTCTGACCATGATTTGATTAAGTGTTGTAAAGCTTATGTTACTAATGCAGTTGTCATAGAAAAGGCTTTACCACTATCCATGTACTCATTGACTTGTGCTAAGTTTATACATTGAGGTTGATCATTATAGGTAACAAAAATGAAGAGAGACAGAATAGGCTGGGAATCAGATGTTCAAAACAGATGATATTGCAAGCATAAACTTGATACTCCTATTTAAAAACTTTTCAGAAAGTTGGCCTTAAACTCAGCTGAAAAATGAAGTATTAATGTAGTGGACCAAGTAGTTTGGATTAATGCTTGGTTGAGTTGGGGCTGATAAAAAATAGGTGCATATTTGTAAAGTCCAGCTTCTTACTCTTCCTAGTCCAAGGCTTAGTAGATACTGCTGATACACCAATTGTCCTACTCTTTTTCTTTTTGGTACCACGGTAAACTTTTCCTATGGCAAGTAGATTGTCATATGTTGACTGGTTTGAAGGAATATGTACTAGTTGCTTCTAATTCCAAATATATGAACTATTTAATATTCTAACAGTTTGATAGAAGCAAGGTGTGTGTTCCATCTAGGTTGCTTCTGGACTATTTATGTGGCTTGAAGTTTTGTTCCTATATTGTGGCAGGTGTTTCCTACTTACACCGAAGTTGCTACCAAATCTGGAATATAGCGAGGCTTGTAGCATTCTGAACATAATGAACGGTCCTTGGATAGAGGCACCCTCTAAAGGTAAAACACCAGACGTTAAGTATATGAAATTCTGACAACACTTAACATATTCATATGCCTATGCATGTTGTTTTAAGCAGTTTGGAGCAGTGGAGAATGCTGGGGCACCATTGCAGGGTTAGTGGATGAAAGTCGATGCTGAAATATCCATCTCTATTGAGGATTTGTTGGAGTGGAATATTTATCTCAAAGTAAGATAGGACGGGAGATTGCAATGCATTGTTTGGTTAAAATGAAGCTGTGTTTTCTCTTGTAATTGCAGGTTTTTGGAAAACATTTCTGCTTCATTGTTACTAGCTGTATAATACTTGCTCTTTTGTAAAGTTGATTTCTGTCCGAGAGTAGTGTATGATATTTGCAGGATGCAAACTTCCTTGCCGTGGTGTCCATGTTTGCTACAATATGTAAAGTTTACATAGCTAATTGTGTTTTTGGTTTAACTGAGCAGGGTTTAACAACTATTAGATTGTAGATGCTGAGATGTCAATGAGTAAAATACTCGTTACTTTTTAAATATAATAGTGATTTATTCAGATTATAAGATTCTTTTACTTGATTATGACGTATTTTAATCTTATTTAATTAGATTGGGTACTAGAAAATACCTGATTATAAAGTATTTATTGATATTTTTAATTCTATTGAGATTTTTGAAAAATCTTTACAAACCAAAGATATTTAGAGTACAATGTGATACTGAGCTCCAAATGAGAATAAAATGGTTGCTGATACGATCCTCTAAAACCATGTGATATTAGCAATTTTAGCATCTCTTCATATTTTATTTTTTGAGAAAATTTTTTATGATATTAGCATTCCAATCACGAATTGAACTTTCATTTTTCTCTTGTTTATTAGATTTTCCATGTAAAAGATAAACCTCCAGGGACTTTACATTGTTACTTTTATCGCATTTAGCCTTAACTGTTTGAGGTACTAAAAGCAGAGCATAGTATAAATGTTAGGGATTATGCTTAAATTATTCGAAACTTAAAAAGAAAAGAATGAAATAATGGTAAGCTAATAAAATTTTATAATTTTCAACTCTTCGTCATTTCTTAAATATTAATAATTAAACACTGAACAATAAAACAAAAAGCTTACAAAGTAACTGGTCAGCATGATATAAATGGACTGCGAATCCAAGGTCCAGATTCAAAATGACACAATTCTTTCAAAATCCAAGGCCCAAATTCAAAAGCCCATCCCTCTTTTCGGTTCACTCACTCTCTGGGACTTAACTCAGCAACTCACCTCACTGCTCAACGTTAACAAAAACAAAAGAAAACACTGGTTGTGGGTTTCTCTTTCTCTCAAAGTCCGTCCCTTTGGACTCCATTTTCTCGTAGTGGTTTTTGTCATTTTTCAGCTAGGAAAAGAAAAATGAGGAACCTTATTCTGAAACGATTCATTGAAACAACTTCATCGTCTTTGTCTCGTTCCTCTACCTCCAGATCCACTCTCCCTTTCTTACTCTCATCTCGACGCGTAAGTCTCTTTTGTTTTCAATTTTTTTAGCTTTTCTTGTTTTTTTCTTTTTTTGTTGATGTGGGTCGATCTCCGTTGACATGAAAGTTTCTATCTTTTGATCGTTTGAGCATTTGGGCCTTTTAGCTTAATCTTGATTGTTGTTTGTTTAAATTCTCTAGTTGGACCTGAGTATTTGGCATTTGTATTCAACTGGAGCTGAAATGAGCTGAATTTCACTCTCATTTCATTGATATGAATTAGGGTTTCTGGGAATCTTTAAGCTCTTTTTAATATAGGGATTTACTCAGCTTTTTTAATAAAGTGGTTTACCTGACTTTGCAAATGTCAAAAGGGTGTTCCTACATTTGCTTAAAATTTAGTGGTAATAATGCTAACATTTTTACCAAAATTGTTAGAACTTTAAACTTCCTACATGAAGCTCTCAATTTCGATTTTTGGAGAGGAGGGCTGACTCCCATTGTGTAGTCCAAACTCACTGAGCTTTCAGATGTACCAGAAGATATGCTAACCTTAAATTTTAAATATGAAATTAGAATTAACAAAATCGTCGAAGATGTCGACATTTTCTTGTGAATATAATTTGTGTAGTAGGAGTAAAATGTCCTTGCTTTTTTCTTTCTTTGTTGCTCTTTCTAGGTTTAAAGCTTATTACCTCTGCTCCTTCCCCCCATTTAGAATAGAAACAGTTTGGACATCTCATTTGTTCAGTATATGTTTATAACAATAAACTTGACACTTTGAATCAACCATAATCGTATCAACAAACGGACCATTGTGCTTTCTGTTATCCTTTTTCTTTTCATCTCTAGGATTAAGGGCATTTTTCTTAATTATCTTATTAATGTGTTCTTGGTACAATTTCTCTGATTTTTCCTTCGAAGAGTGTTAAAGTCAGATATGTCTTTGCATGCATTATTTGATCTTCAACATGATTGTTCTGTTAAATCCACAAAAATCACATTCTGTAACAGACAATGTATCCATGTTTCAAGTTTGATTTTGTCTTACACATTTTTTGACTCTCAACGTTCATTTACTTATGTGCCTATGCATTTTCTGTATTTTTTTCATGCTTAATCACAACTATTTGTCACCTAATAGTATTATTTGGTTTTGGATTTTGCAGAATGCAGTTTCATCCCCCTTGGTTGAGGAGGAAGGTGAAAAAGTTGTATTTCCAAGGTAAAATTTTGGTTGAAAAAAACAGATAGATAAGCTGAAATGATTTTAACTAGCTGACATGATATTCTTACTTCAGTGAGTCAATTTGGTTCCTTGCTTCCCCTCTCAAAGCTTCTATATTAGATGGGTGTCGCTAATGATCAAGTATACTGCAATTTATTGACACTTCTTTTGGTATGTCTCTGGTGTCCGAATGTTGCCTCCTGTTTTTTGCCTGTTAAATCAGGAAAGCAACATATATCTTTCCTAACTAGTTATATGTCAAGTGAAACATGAAAGACTGAATTCTTTAAATGGTATCAGTTCAGCCATTGATTAAGTTCTATGGAATTTCATTGTTTTAGCTTCTGATAGATAGACATTTTAGACTTTGATGTGTATGTTTGAATCTGATTCATGTCTTATTTTCATGGTAAGAAACATAAAAATGCTAATTGCATGATATATGTGATACTATGTGACATACTCTGTGCTTTGTACTTAATGGACCTGTACACTTATCTATCTGCTCTTTGCTTCTTTTAATATAGAGAAAGCCCTGGATTTTCTTATGGACTTAATTGGGCTCTGGCTGGAAAAGGTGTGATTGTGAAGGATAAAGCTTTCCAAAACTTGAAGTCTTCTGAGTTGCAACAGAAAGGTGCAACCATTTCAGGTAAAACTTTCGTTATGTTGGCTGAAATGGCATTTTGTTCCTTTTTATTGTTAGGTGTTTATGATTTTCTTCTTTCTTGTTTCTTTTATCAGAATCCTTGTCAGGATTTCCAGTTCATGCTAGAGGAATTCTAGGGGGAGCTTCAACAATTTCAAAAGCACAATATAGTAAACTTTTGAAGCAGGTAGGTCTTGTTTCGTGGCTTTAATATTTCTGTTCTTATTGTGTCTTTAGTCTTAGAGATAAGAATGAAAACTTTATTGTGTGTAGTCACTATCCAACTCACTCACATGCATCTCTCACACACCTATGTATGTGCACGGTTAGAGAATAGACTTGGTTCCTTGATAGTCATTAGTAATTTATGATGATGGCATGCTTCTACAGAATGCTCCACGTTTTGTTTACGATGCCAGGCATGATCAATTATGATACTGATGAGAAATATCAAATTCATTATTAGGCTAGGTTGAAGCTTAGTATCTGAGAGGTGCTTGCTGGAAATTTGACAAAATTCATAAATAAAAATTAACACTAGTAGCGTACTTTTTATGGAAAAAAAAAACAAAGGAGCATTAAGTACTTTTTAAGGAGAAACCAGAAAAGGACTATGTTTGATGTTCTTGAAATGTAGAGAATTAGAAATGTGCTAAGATCACACATATTCTTGTTTGCACAATACTTTCTATTTAAAGTTGCTTTTTGAATTTCTATTCCATTGCAGACTGCATCCGCTTTGTTTAATCCATCTATAATTTTTGTTGCTCTATTCTTGATTTGATCAGGTCACAACTCATATGTCATCTGTCTCAGACATTTTTGTCCATGATGGGGCTATAGGTTCATCACCAAAATTTGATGCTAAAGTTCGTTTGATTAGTGACAGTCCGTCTGCTGTATTGACACTTTCTAATGTTCTTTCGGAGACTCCTGCTCGAGCGGTTTCCCATGATTCTTGTCCGTTAACAGTTTATGCTGCTACATCAATAAGGTTTGAAATTTAAATGCTTTCTTTTAGTAGTTACCACATAAAAAAAAGATCACAAAACAACCCTGGCTACCCCCCTTTCAAAAAAAAAAAAAGGGTCTAGGACCCAAAATATATTATAAAGTTCCCATTATCTGAATGTGTTGAAGTGTTGTTACCAATTAGGCTGTGCCTCAGCCTCATGGTGGAAATTGTACCATTACTTGGTTTCTGTTTGCAGCCTTCAGGTTCATCACCCTGTTTCTAAGAACTCTAGCAGGACTGATAGTGTTTATCAGTCCTAAAGAAAGTATAAGATCTAATAAATCATAATATTTCAGCTTTTAACTTTCATTTATCCAGTGTGGCTGTGGGGGATGCTGTTGGGCTTGGAGCTCAAGGAAGTAATGGATTTATAGCTGCTGATGTTGAGCGTTCTTCACTTATTTTATGTGGTAAAGCATTTGCTGATATAAATGGAACTAAAGAAGCATTATCTGCCTTATCTGGGCCAGTTATATCTGCACGTGGAGGCCTTCCATTATCGGCAAGGTAAGAGTCTTTTATCTTCAACTGCTGCTTTGTCATTGTTATTATGAATGTGGAGTATGTAACTCACATCTTTAGGTTGGAAATTTCAGGCTCCTAGCATCTGGTGATTCTGTGATTCTTTTGTTTGCCCCTGAGAATGCCATTCAGAATTGTGCAGATTTGTTGGTGTCTGCAGATGCAGGTGTTGTCCTTTCCCCTCAAGGTGTTGCACCTTTGTTTCAAACCAAAAAATCCAGTGGCGATGATCTATACAAAATTCCATCTGCTGTTATCCTTGCAACATCTGATAGGTAAAAGAATGAATCAAGATTGTTCAGTTCCTTTTGACAATAATATGCAATGCAATCAGACATTCCCTGGTATCAATGTCTTTCTTTCCTTTGCATAATTCATGAAGTATGGCATGCAAGCAAGAGTGATCTTTCTAAATTTGAAGATTAATTATTGAGACAAGAGTTCATTTAACTTAGTAGGCCAGTCATCTCACGTCATCTCACTTGATCTACTTCTCTTAGAACACGTGAAACCACAGAATGCTAGTTCTCCAAGTTGAGTAGGGAGTTAACAAGTTTTGTAAGAGAAGTTTAAGTTGTCTTTAAGATAAAGGAAAAGAAATATTATTGAGCACTGTTGCCTATAATTATGGCATTGAGTGAATTTCAGCATGTGACTCTTGGTGCAGACATCTTCCTGGCAAAATTCTCAAGATGGTTATGCTTTCAAGCAGATATATATTAACTAGTTCACCCGAACCAAAATAGAAAAATATTTGTAGTTGCATTGAAATTTCTAAATGTTCGAAGAATCCTTCATGTTTCTTGAAACATAACTCAGACCCCAACACCTGAAGGTGCTTAAAGGGCAGAGACCTCACCTACTTTTTTCCATGTTGTTTATATATGTAAATCTGAGATTCCTTCTCCCTATTCTTTTCATTTTACTGCTAGTGGTATATCAGTATGGTTTGAACTGGTTGAGTGTTTGTAATTTTCTCTGTGGTTCACTCATTGCCTGCCCTGCCGTTGGAGAAATTAATGAAAATATAGTTCGATTTGGCTCCTATATTATTTGTAAATCCTGAAGAATTAGAAAAATTGTACACACATTGGTGTAATATAACATAGTTTTCCTGTACACATTGACCTTGCTGTTAAAAGCAGTGAAATTTTCTCTGCCCTGCAGTTCTGGGAGCATCCCTTTGGTAGCAAAGCTCTCTCCAGGCCAAGCGGCTTATCAGTTTTTGGCTGGCTATCAAAATGGGGAGTTTGTGCCTGCTTATGCTAAGGGTCCTTCCTGTATTGATGCATTAGATCTTGCAAAGGCTTTTCTCTCCAAGGTTAAAAATGAAAATTTACTAGCTTTTGTAATTCCTTTTTTTAATTCTAAGAATATATTATATGTTAAATTAACCATTGCCATCATTAACTGCTTGTTGATGAGCTATCTAAATTGTTTCTGTAGTTAAAAGAGCACCAAATACCAACTTTCCTTGTTAATATCGGTGAAGGAGGAAAGAGTGTTACAGGTAAGGAAAAATCATGAAAATGTTTCTCAATAGCTACATGGACATTTTTTGTAATAATTTATTGTTGAGGAAGAATGCACTGAATCATGCCCAGGGTTATTGTTAATAAAAAGATGGATTATTCCTTGTTAAATGATCTTAAGGTTCAAATTTAAGTTAAACCTCTGCATTTTCAAACACTAAAACTGCTGAATGGCATAATTGTCTTCTTGGGGTTAGCGAGGTTGACTTCTCTTCTTAATTCTTATCACAGTGAAAGGAAATGAAGAAACAAATAGAATCTATTGCTTCATCCTCATGAATTTTCAGAAAGGATACAAAGCAACTAAGGATTTCTCAAACTAATTTTTATTGTTTTAGGATCTGTCTTCCCATGTTGCTATTCTGAATCACCTCTCAAAAGGCTGGGTTTTCAACTATGTAATTATGCTGGCAGCATTTTGAACATTCTTCTAAAACCTCAGAAAATTATTTTCAGCATTGAGCCTTAATATAAACAAAAGTTTAATATTTTGGTACTCTGCATAGCCTGAAATCTTCAGTTAATTGCTGTTCCATTTGCCGTAACCAAAAGGTCAGGAGGATTTTTTTTTTTTAAGCTGGAGCTGGATAACTCCTGCTTTAAGGATTTGTTTATTTATGATATCTTTTTTATTTTTCCTGTTGATTTTGCAGGCAAAGATCTTTTGAAGTTGGTTGGATCAGCAAAGGTTGCACCATTTGAACTTAAAGGTAAGCTATGTGATCCTCTTTATTTGCAACCTTTGCAATTGTTGGGTCCAGTTTTACTTACCTGCAAGCAATATTTTCAGGTGGAGATCTTCAAGGGAAATATAATACCTTTTTGTCAGGTAAGTTTCAAGAAATACCCGAAGAATTATCATTCTGAGAGCCAAATCTGTGTCTTTGTGGCTGTTTTTGTCCCAAGTTGCAGTTGTAACCTCTTTGACAACAGAAAACACTCTGAACATGTGTATGATTTTTGCTTCCTCAAATAGGATCTGGTGTGAAGCACCAGAGAATGAAATAAAGATCCATTTGTATATTTTGTTGTTTTAACTCCCATTTTTCAAATTTAATTGAAGGAGTTTATGAAGGGTGGCAACATTTTTGAAGCAGTGATTACTTCTCTTTTCGTTTTTCTTTCAAAGGGAGAGAATATCATTGTAGCAATTGTACTTGACATAGCAAGTTGTGCAGTTGTTGATGAGCAACTTATGGAGCTTAGATATATGTTGATAAACCCAATCCTTTGTTTGTCTTAAGCCATATCTTCTACCCATCTATGCAGAAAGTCAATAACACAGCTGCACCAACATGAATCATTATTATGACTCTCACACTAGCAACACTTCCTGAGTAAACAAACCTACAGTTGGATGAACCATCAAAATTTAAGTTAAAACCACTTTAATGGAAGACTAATCCACTTGAACTAAATGATGTAGGACATTTTGTGTGATAACATCCATGTGCTTTAAAAATTTCAAAACAAAGAGCTCTAGATATTTACTCTGATGATATTGATGCTTGTATAGAAAGATAATAACAAAGGCCGGTTGGTTCTCAATTCAATTATTTGGTTCGTTGGTCTTTTAGAGTATTGAAATGCTATCATACCTTACTATCATTATTTCCAATTAATAAAATTGTATAAAATTTTCAATATTTAAGATCTGGATGTATGAGTTCAGTTTTCAAATACTAATCAGGCTCTCCTCTTCAAAGAAATCTTTAACAAACTGAGAATTTAATTAAAACTTTAGGGATCAAGTGGCCTCGAGACCTTTGCCTTCACATTGTGGAAAGCTTTATTGGTGGATATGTGGTGGATCTAGTTAATATCAAGCAAATATCCATATATGCTTAATATTTAAAATCTTATCACTTCTGTCATTTCTTCTTTTCTAGTATAAGGAAGTGATGAATAAGAAAGTGATTAAATTTAAGGGGGTCCATTGCCTTTCGAAAGAGGGAGAGATGATGGGTTCCTTGGCTCCACAAAATAAATGCATTGGGTACTAAGAACTGGTTTCTTTTGTTGTTGTTAGGACTTAGGACCCACACTGAAGAATAGATTAGGGTTTGCTTCAACTCAACTTCATAAATAGTACACCCCAAGCCAATAATAAAAATAGAAATAGCATATTCATATGAATACTAGGGTAATTTGTGAGTACAACATGGATTGAGATACAATACCATCATATATTGCGTTATTAGAGGGCCCCTTTTCCAGTTCACCTCAAAGGCTGACAACCATGAAACTTTTGGTTAGGCAACCCTGACTCTTGTCAAGGGTCCTACTCCCACTCCTAGCCAAGTGGAGTATTTGACATTTTCATTGTTTGCTTTCTTTGAAAGTGTCTATCTCATCCAACTTGTGCCCAACAATTTATTGTTTAGCCACTCTTTCTTTCTGGGCTAGCTAGACTATTGAAAGAGAGGATACTCTTTTTATCCTCTTTAAACCCTTCTTATTTTGAAGGAAGGCAAATCCTAATGCTACTATATATTTTAAGTAAGCACTGCATTGTAGCCTAAAAGGGGGTTTGTTTCTTTCTTCTTTTTGTCCTTATATCTTGTTGTTTAGGGAGAGGAAAATTGAGGGCTGAGGAGGGTTTTGACCTGACATTGGGTTGGAGAATGGCACCATTGCCATAGGAGAGGAGGAAACTAAGCACAGCATTGCTTTTTGTGGGGTCTCGAACTAGACATCATGCACTGCCACCCGCCCTTGAGGCAAAACTTTGGCACACTCATCAACCGCTCTGAACTTCTAATCGAAAATTTCCTTCTGAAAATCTATTAGTCTGTTTGGGCCGGTTGAGTTCAAGCTATAAAAGCTATATATATTTTTATACTTCTAATAAATATGAGTCGAATCTTCTTTTAGTTAGTTTTTTTCTTTTTTTGTTTTTGTCAATTTATATGTTAAGTGTAAACACAGATTTCCTATAAAAGAATATACCAACATTTTTACTGCAAAGAAGTTAAATATAAAGGGTACATTATTGACAACTTTTGTTATTATATGCTTTTTTTATTTCTTTTATCTTTTAAAATTTTTTATTATATGTTTTTTGTTGCTTTTAATTAGTAGATATTATATGATAATAACTTTTACTGCTTGCCTACGGCCAATGCTTTAAAAGCAAGTAGTAAAAAAAAAACTATACATTTAAATAAAAAGAGAGAAAACAGTGAAATTGTTTTTTTTTTTTACTAATACCAATTGAAATATGATGGTTATGCATATATAAAAACCAGGTTAATTGTGCTTTTTTTTTTTACCATTTATGCAAGTTAAATTTATTATTTTTACCATTCAATTTATAAATTAATCCCAAGTTTACGATGCACTCACAATAAAGAGTGTAGAGGGCGGCTCCAGTCGGCACTTTATTTTTAGGTTTACAAAGCTCTTTATTTTCAAATTATTAGGAATATATGTATCTTTTATTACTTTTTTTTATCACTTTAATTAGTTAATCAATCGGATGATCTTTAAATAGAAAAGAATTTCAAAGTTGAAACTTTAACGCTTTGTCTTTATTTAAAAAGAAAAAGGAAAAAAGCTTAATATAGTGTTTTAAAATGATTTTGAATTATTTAATAAAAAGTAAATAAAATTTTATTTTTTATTACGTTTAATCAAATTTTATATTTTCACATCCAATCAAATAGATTTTTATGATTAAAAGCTTATTGATTGCTATTAATTAAAAAAAATCATTTATCTTATTTTATATTATGTGACGTAGATATGAGGAGTGAAACGTCATGTAGTTATGTCATTATGCAATATCAAACGTTTCGCATCATCATTTATTATGATATCGACATATCATGTTAACATCATATAATATAAAATGACAGGTGACGTTTTGATTAATAATTATAAATAAGTGAATGTTAGTTATAAAATTTATTTAATTAAAAATAAAACTACAATTGGATTAGATGTAGTAAAATAATAAAAAATTATTTTAAATACTTTAAATAATTCAAAAAAGTTATTTCAGACATTATGTCCAAAAACTTTAATGAAAGATAGAGAAAGATAGTGCTACGATGATGGCTCAGGAAAACAAATGGACATGAAATGAAATGATTGAGTTTTTTCTATAATTTCAAAGGCAAAGAGAAACATAAAGAATGATTATCTAAATATTTGATTTATTAATTTATATATAAATTTTTATTTAAAAAATAAATTTAAATTTATTTAATTAAAAAAATAAAACAAACATAGAACCAAAAACAAAAAGGAATTAAACTTGGAATATGCATGGCCGGTGGGTTAATGCAAAATCGTGTCCCTCCTATATATTTATATACGTGGCCATAGTAATGTCAAATGGCTCATTGACCCATAAGTCATTCAATGCCTGAAATTGTCAAAGCTATGGATGTCAATCACTTCACCTCCTTTCATTAATCTCAATCCTTTTTGGTACATTTAAAGCAATTTAATTTAATTCAAGGAAAGATATGGACAACTGCCATCGAGATTGACCTTTACACCTAAGCATCCTCCCATTCACACTACTGCTGCTACGCTTCTCCTTGCCTCAATAATTGCCTTGTAATTTCCTTCACAAAAATTATAATTCCTTTTTAGATACGCATATTTAAGTTTAATATAGATCACATCCAGTTCCTCATGTTTTCACAATACACACACTTTATTAACGCAATATATGTAATATTTTAATATTCGATTTTTTTGTCATGAATTATTATATAAAAAATTATAAAAGATAAACTAAAATTAAATATATTTTTTTCTTAATTTCCATTCCATGTTAAACTTGGATCAAAATTATGCATGTCACGTGATAACGTGGAGATATAAGTAAGTGACATTTGGGCTATGTGCTTTATATTGCTAACAAAGGGATTAGTGACACGTTTGGGTGAGATTTACACACGTGTGCAACCGAGAGGTTATTTATTAGTGACGTGTGTTAGTAACAGTTACACACACGTCTCAAAATTAAAAGGCCCAGCATGAGACAGTTGTGCAACTTTTGTCCTAAAATTTTCTGCAGTCATGAATTTTGGCCTTTAGCTTGCAAGGTCCCACTTTGCAGCAGTTGCCTAACAAGTAATAATACCTCGCTTTCAATATACTTTTGGCCAAGTCTAGGCCTTTCCCCGTCAGCTAACCACCACCTGCCCAACCATCAGTAATTAACCAGACTCTTTCAATGCTCTTTTTCTCTCTTCTACCTCTTATAATAAATACTGTCATGCTTCCCTCCCGGCCCCCTACTTTCCATTTCTGAGCCATTCCTTCTTCTTCTTCTTGTTGGCATTGTAGGACAATTTTCTATCAACCATGGCTTCACCTGACAATGCAAGGGCAGTTTGTGTAATGGATGCCTCAGGCCACCTTGGCTCAGCCCTTGTGCACTTGCTCTTGCATAGAGGCTACACTGTCCATGCTGCTGTCCAACACCATGGTTAGCTTCTCCTCCTGCGCTCTTTTATCTCCTTTACCTTTTTTCATTCGACCAATGGGATCGATACTTCCTTACTGTTAAAACTTTTTGAGTACGGGCATCATCTTATAGAATACATATTTGCTCCATTAATGGATAAAGTTGTGGGAACTTGGATTTAATAGTTTGAAATGTCTATCATAATCTAAGTGAAATAATTAAAATTAAACGGTTTTTTTTTTTTTTTTACAAATATTGTGTTCTTTTTGTTGATTATATGCAGGTGAATTCCAGTCATTTGGGGGACTGCCTTGCAGTAATGAAAAATTAAGGGTGTTCCATGCAGACCTCTTTGACTACCACAGCTTAACAAATGCACTGGAGGGGTGTTGCGGCTTGTTTTACTGCTTTGAGCCTCCGTCTGACCACTCCACCTATGATGTATGTTTTTCCTTAATTCTTTCATTTCAATCTTTTCTAAATTGATGGGAGTTATTTAACCCTCTCTATTGTGATAAAGTTAACATAATTAAACTTGTAAGGTATATGCTGGTACTAATTTTGTAAGAGTCCCCAAAATTAAGAAGTGGTTTTCCTAATCCCAAGCAAGTATGCATATCCTTCAAAGGGTCAATGCCTAATAATCATTTGTGCACGGTGAAACACTGTTTTTATAATCAAGTTATATATATATATATATATATATATATATATATATATGTACCTAATCTTTTTAACAGTGCCTAATAATTATCCGTCCTTTTTTCACAATTTTTCCATCTTTTGGATTAAGCACGTAATGTTGACATGGTTATAGCAAAGCACATACAGCTGGAAACATCAATTTAAAAGAATGAAATGAAGAAGAGTCACGTGGCTTTGTTGGGTGCAGGAATTTATGGCAGAAGTTGAGGTGAGAGCTGCACACAATGTGTTGGAAGCATGTGCTCGAACAGATACAGTGGAAAAGGTCGTTTTCACTTCCTCTGTAACAGCTGTGATATGGAACGAAGGTCGCAACACTTCTTCCACTGATCTCAACGAAAGGAATTGGAGTGACGTTAATTTTTGCAAGAAGTTTAAGGTACTAAACAACCCTTTGCTTGGAAATTCAAGTTAATCTCAATACTACGAGTTGTCTGCAATTTAGATTTAGTTATGTTTAGTTCTATGATCATATGGATTGATCCCTTCCCATTTTTGAGCAGTTATGGCATGCATTATCAAAGACACTAGCGGAGAAGTCTGCCTGGGCACTGGCAATGGACCGAGGCATAAACATGGTGACCATAAATGCAGGACTGTTGATGACTCCTGATCTAACCATCACAAATCCCTATCTAAAAGGAGCAGCTGAGATGTATGAGGATGGTGTATTTGTTACCGTGGATCTCAGGTTCGTTGCGGATGCTCACATTTCTGTGTTCGAAGACATCTCAGCCTATGGACGATATCTGTGCTTCAACCATGCAATCAATTGCAGCCATGATGCTGACAAGCTTGCTCACATGCTATTACCATCCTCTCATTCTACACCTCCTCAAAGGTTAGTAAAATAGATTTTGTTTTCTCAAGATTTGGCTACAATTCTTAGCTGTTTACATAACTTTAAAAATGCATAAGATCAGATAGAAGCATGCTCCATATAATACTAGATCATACTATAGATTTGTATACATACAATTGTCTAGAGGAATATTATAATACTGCCCAGATAATAATCAAGAGGAAAGAACACCGTGTGAAAAGGTTTCGGTAAATGAATAACTTCTTTAATTGTTTGCTTATTTATTCATTTATATATTTTCTGCCTGCAGTTCGAACGACAAAAGAATAATGTACCAACAGAGAATAAGCAATAAGAAGCTGAACAACGTGATGATGGAGTGTGAGAATGAACAACTTCTGACTAATTGATGGCAGGCTACTGTCTATTATTTTCCAGAAGTTTTTTTGTATGTTTTAGGATCATCTATTCATATCCTCCAACTCATATTCTTTTAAGAAAGATAGCTACCATTTTTTTTAAAATAAGTTTGCCTATAGAACATGTTTAGTAGATTTCAGGAATCTAAATTATATCTCCAACTGGAAGTTCCAGGGAGAAAATTTATTATATGCTATCATTATTCATTCAGCATATTGGCCTGCAAAGATAACATTGACCCTGTATCTCAAAGCTGTATTCAAAGTACGTCTGTCCTGTATTGAAATTTGTTGTTATATAGCCAAATTCTATTCATGAACTTGATTGTTACATCTCAACAGAAATGGAACTAGCTACCGTTTGATATAACTTGTTGCAGAAATCTGCAATCTGATCTAATTCTAAGAAGTTTTGTAATCCAGCGATCTATTAAACTAGCTCTTTTTTTTTTTTTATTTGTATATAATGAAAATAACTAACCTTGGAGAATAATCTTTGATCTGACCAGTACAGCATCGGCAAGGACATAATTAATACATCAGCTTCCGCTGTAAACATTCAGCAACATGCCAACAACTTATTAGATGGTACAAGTATTTAATTATGCCATTGAAGCAATAGGGAAACTCAATGTTAAAAGGCTATTAGAAGAATGAGTGAGTACTGGAGAAGATGTGAAAGCATGAAATGGAAGTTGAATGCAGGAACAGGAAACCAATGCTGAGAAAGCTAGCAGGAGCTAGTTCACAGAGATTGTATTAGGTACTAATCAAGTTACAAAAGAACGGATAAAACCAAGAAAATAAACAGAAGAAAAAAAGATAAATTTTGACAGAGATAATTTGCTCTATAGCTGAAGGTCTTCATCATCAATCTTTCCTGACATCTTGCTCAACATCCATTTCATACGAAGGATGTCTGCAATTTAGTTTCAACAACATAATAGCACAACAGTGATTGTTAAAAACATACCGCGTTTACACCTCTGCCAATTCGGTACTCTGCTATTTGCAATGGAAAGAGTATTAGAAGGGAAAAACCAAACAAACTGCCACGAATCATTAGAAAGGTGTTGAAATAACGATCAACAGAATCCACGCTGAGGCAGCATAAGCTAACCATAAAGCTCCTGCAACATTCTAAAGCAGGAAAGAAAATGCATATCATTTCACTTGACATGAGGATTGCTGGCTCGAATCACCACTAACATAATATCAGGCCCAATTTCTTTCTGCTTTTTCTTCAATACTAGTAACTTATGGGAAGATGTTATGACAGATAATTTTATTATCTAACCGAATTGCTGCAAGCATAGAACATTTCGTATCTGTTTTTTCCTCAGCACAGTAATATTCACATCCACTTCTTTTGGGATTTGTTCCCTGTAAAAGTAGCTCACTGAATCCCCACTACTACATATGCATCTAAACTACATGAACATAAATTTGATGCATTTATAGAACTGGTTTCGTCAACAATCTGATTCATTACTAAACGAAGATGACATATATAATCTTCATGACAGATACATCCTTAGGCACTTAGCGACATAGATGTGATAGAAGAAAGCTTGAACTTGCGGACTTTGGTAGAATTTTGAGGCTGGAATATGACCTCAGTACTTGATCTTACAGTTACTTCCTTCCACTCAGAAGCTGAAGCTCCTTCACTTCGATAATCTCGAGGAGAATACAAAACCTGGAGCTTCGAATGGGCTGCGTCACCAAAGGAAATTGAGTAGAGGGATAAGAAGATTATACAGAAATATGACTATGCAGCTAAACCAGCAGATGTCTATGAACAATATGTGTGATATCTTTGCTATTATCTTCTAGTAACGCCATATTTCACCAGAAACTAAGTTTTCAAATGTCTATGATTTTGAAAAAGCAGAGAATGTGGTGCAGTGATTGTTGGAATTCAACTCCAGCACCTAGTTCTCAATTCTGAAATCCATTTTCTCCCTGTATTACCTATAACTTCCACAATCCCATTTATCATATCCCCTGAAAAATGAAGCTTTGGCTTAAGAAATTTTAGATCCCCATCCATCGACTATCTCAACAGTAGTATTCATATTGTTTTTCAGTGTAGGGGGAGAGCACTTTTTTTATATATAATCATTTCCAACATTAATTCTACAGGAATTTTACCATCTCCTGCATCACAATCTTCTTGTTTACTGCTATTATCTCAAGAACTGGACGAGCATATCTAAAAGCAAACATTAAGTATTAGCACTGCATCAATATCCAAATGCAGCAATTAATTTGATATTCAACCCACTAATGCACATCCAGAGATGACAATTATTATGCACACCCAGCGAATCACTATAAATGACTTTATGGGAGAACTTTTTAGGATTTTAAAATCCCAAAAGAAAAGATATTCTTAAATAAGCAAAGAAGACAACAATAAACGCAGAGTACAATAAAACAGTGGGGATTACCTAATCCAAGCATGCTAGTCTTTTGGATGATAAGGCGACTAACTTTTGATCTCTTGATATTTCTCAAAGCCAGGGTATCCTCTTGCTTCCCTTTAAATTCCAGAAATTCACCAAGAACATATTTGTTACCTTTAAGCTCCAGCCTGCAGAAATCATGGATAAAGTCAAGTTTTTTCCAAGTTAAAATTACCTATTAATGCCCAAAAGAATCATGAAGTGTACTCATACAACCAAATATTAATCTTCATCTATGACTAGTGCCAGGATAGCTTAATTCCTACTTAATCACCAATGCATGATTCAAATTTTCTTCTGTTAGACATTCTTTTAAGTAACATTTTTATTTAACAAGAGTCTAGCAGAAGGAGTAAATTTGCAAATTGCAATTACTTCAGTAAAAAGCAAAGAAAACAAGGTGAAATTATCTAACATAATTTCAGTATCTAGTAAGATACATTCAGTACTGTTTATCATCAAGGTGAAACAACCACCACCCTCCCCCACGTCCTTTCTGGATGAACAAGTAATACAAACATCAGAAGGGCAATCCAATATAACAATCTAGTTAAAGAGAGAGGCTGCCAATCTGACAAGTCCAACAGCAACTTTTATTCATTTCTGGGAGTTAATTGTATTTCCAACTTCAAATCCTAAAAATTTTAGGGTCTTACAATATATCATAAGCTTATGCATCCAAAATAGTGTCTTTTCATGCATGGGAGTTATAGTAGTTCCAACTTCCAAATCCTAGAAATTTTAGGGTCTTATGCAGATAACCAACACTATTGACCAAAAATGACATGATATGCATCAGAAACATAATCCTGTGTGAAAAAAGTTAATGTCAAAGTTATTCCCACATGTAGTAACAAACCTGTCCCACATGGGTGCTGTGCTGAGGATAAAGTTAAGTTGCTGATGGAAAGATTCCTGCATCTCCTTCTTCCCACCACGAAAGGCACCCTTAATCCATCCAGAAAACATACTTTTTGGTTCTGGTTTTAATTGCACCCACTGATCATAAGTAATAACCTCAGATGGAAAAGCGTTATAAATGGTACTGCAAAAGAAAATTATTCAGTAAATACTCTAACAAAAAATTTTAAAATTAAAGAATAAAAAAAAGATAACATTATTCAGTACATACCGGAATTTTGGATTGGGAATTACAACTTTGTAAGAAAAGTATCCTTCTGGTAACGCAACACCCCTTTGTTCAAGATATGACTCTAGGACTGAAGCTTGTTTTTTAGCCTCTGCAACCTGGAATGACAGATATTTTATGATCATTTTCACACTCTAAAGTTAGAATGCTTTTCCTCATCACTTCGCAGTAGAAAAGTAGTTCTACATATTCATAGTAAAGCTTTGAAATGTTTGAGCTTCAACAACAGCATGTAAACATTCAGAATTGCTAAAAGCCATTTCTAAACTAGACATTGTCTCTCCCCCACAACAGCCATAGAACATCAAGCAATTACTATCATTTGTCGAGGTGCTTGTCATAAGAAAGATGTTTGAGAACATGGGGAAGAGGGAGAAATTGGTAAAGCTAATACTGCTCATTGACACTAAAAACACAACCCATCTAGCAAAGCTTTTAGGGCAACATACAGGCATCCTCATCATATTAAACATGGAAAAAGCAAGAGTTGCTGAAGAAGCAGACATTTGAATGTGGTGACTTACAGGATTAGGATGACGCTCTGCCCTGCGGCTACTGACACCTTCACAAGTCCAGCTACCATCCTCACTTATAGAAACAAACCCTGCTAAATTCTTGACAGAAATAATTGCTGCCTCTCTGCACAAATGCATTAAAATTAAAAAAGCAGGAGAAAATGAACATCAAAGGAAAACTCTAATAATTACACAATCCTGTCCTTGCTACGAGCAAATTTAAAGCTTCTTTATATAATACTAATAGATAATTGAACATATTCTAAGCATATGAAATGACACTTGCAAAGCAGAAATAATTTACCCTTTAGTGACAAGAACCATATCGATATTCAGTCGAGAACCAGTGTCAGCATCCGGAATGTGAAGCCCCACATACACTTTTCCGCTATAAAGCTTTTCAAGTCTACAACGAATGTGCACCAAATGAAACAATCAATAGAGGAGTGGCAGATTGGAGTCTCCGCCACAAGCCATATAGAATGGTCACTTAGAAAATCAAAGGAAAATTAAATGGAAAGATCGATCTCAATGAAATACGCTGTTTTAAGCTTAACATAAATGCTTGATCAATAAAAAAATTTTAAAATATTAAAGTAACTCTGGTCCCAAGTAAAATAACAAAATCGACTAAGGATGCATTTGGTTGTTGCTTTCACTACCTTCATCTGTTGGATAAAGTTCCATTTACCATTTTTTACCTAGGTGATGGATCCAATTTACCAGCCATCTTTGAACAAGCGCAATTTTAGCACCTTACTGTTTAATTCGGTTAATAATGATCAAAAGTTAGAAGATTCTTTTATTTTTCTGGCCAAATGTTCTTAACTTTTGACCAATTTTGAACCAAATTAAAACATTAGGGATAATATTGCATCTGAAGACCAAAACTGAGTGATAAATTGGATTATCACTCTAAGTAAAGTGTTAAATTTTAACCTTGACCCTTTATTGTTACGCTGCTTTTTCCTACTAATAACTAACATACACGCACATCAAACATAATTATTCTGACAGTAAAATTAAATGATTAATTTTTAATTCGTCATATTTAAAGGCATTCCTGCCTGTCTTTTCGCCTCCAAAATTTCAAAAAAGAGAATAACAATAGCACCAGCCAAACGAAGCCTAAATTAACACTTTTTTTTCCATTGCAAAAGAAATCAAAAGGAGTAAAAAAGTCTTTGCAAAATTCTAATTTTCCAAGAAACCAAACAAACCTTAAGAATCGAATATTTATACAATCAAGCTCACTCGGTATCAAACTCTACTAAAATTAAGATATTTTTACTCTTTTTTGGGGCATTTTATTAAAAGTTCTAAATTAGAAAAAAGATAGAAAATGTTTAAATTATGGAAGCAGTACCTATTGGCGACGGAGAAAATAGCATTAGAATCAGAGGTTTCGACCTCTAAAACATCGTCATCGTAGAAGAAGCGCCGGAACAACCGGTAAACGATGAGTCCGCAGATGATCTCCAACCACATGATGCAGTATTTATTTCTGATTTCGCCGGAAATAATATAAATTGAAATGAAGACGGAATTGGACGAGAACAATTACAGGTTCTTTTTTCTTCTTTTGACTTCTTACAAATTTTGAAGTACTGGGATTTTAATTTTGTGTTGTGCGCGTGGGGTGGGCAAAAGCAGTGTCGTGCTGACTAGCGCGTGTCCGTGTTAGCCGTGACGAGTGACCAACTGACCAGAGCAGCTCAACGCCTTAACCACTAAGAAAAGAACGAGCAGAGAGGCGTTAAGCTGTTACGGCCCATTAAGAAAGGTGTGTGATATGGCCCGGCACAGCAAGTTGCAAGGACTGGTTTGGTTTTGTTTTTCAACCTAACAGCCTAGCTTGGTCAAACGAGTTCAATGGGCTGAGGTTCAGCATTTCTTAGGATATTCATATCTATATATATAAAACCCATCTTATTTCTTACTTATATGAAATGATATAAAAATATTATATTTAATATTGATATCAAAAATTTAAAAAATACTCATAAAAAGGATAATTTTGACAAGCAATGAGGAATTATTTGGGATAATTAATGAATCCTTGTTTTAGATTCAAGTCTTCTCAATGATTTTTTTTTACTGGCACTAATTTTAAATACACAAAACTTATAAAATATAATATATCTTATTACCTTATGATTGAGAAGATTGAATAATTTATCTATTATTAATTTTATTTTTAAAAGTAGAAAAATATTTACTTTAAATTTATTTAAAATTACAATGTCAATTTATAATGAAAAGTAGTGGGCATTTTTATTACTTTTTAGCAAAGGAAAGAATTCTTTCCACATGCAACGTATCATCAGCTAGCATTCAATGGCACAAGCTTGGCATGCTTTTTGCCTAAAGTTTTTAAGCCTAAGGTCTTTAGATTCAACATTCAATGGCATCTGCAGCTATCTTTTGACCGTTTGGACCTCCCTTCTGTTTCTCTATTCCTTTTGTGGGCTAGGGTCGGATGGAACTGCGAATCATTGGAAAAAGGAAAGAAGAAGAAAACCATTACCCATTGGACAGCTCAAATTATGTTGTCCTCCGCACATGACATAGCAGCTTCACAAGTCAAATATTTACCATTGGGTTAAATAATTCCTGCTCTAAACTTGGTGCATGCACTTTTCTTGGGATACTTGTAAATTAAGAACTAATATGATCCCTAGGAACTCTCAAGCTTTTAAGGAAGGAAAAAAGACGTATGCACTCATTAGATCACGTTTTTCTTCTCTTGATTATGTAAATTAGACCATTTTTTCCATTTAAGTTGCATTACAGACACCAACAATGATGATGTCAACACCCTTGTTTCATGGACGGAGAAAGCATGGTGCCCCTTTGGATGAGGAACAATCATTACTCTGTTTGAATTAGCTACCTTAAAACAACCAATATTGGAGCCATTTGCAATTCCCGTACATTGGTAAGTGGATAAAACAGAGTTATACAGTGCTCATCCTTCCCTGGCATAATGGAAGGTTTCATGTTTGATTCACAGAGAGCTAACCAGTAAAAACCTTTCAGTAATGTCACATTAACCCTTAGTTCTCATTTATCCACTCCTGGATGCTATATTCTACTTAATCCACATGAATTAGGAAGGCATTTCTATCACCAGAAACTGTTGGTCACTTAAAGGTGAAAACGTTTACTAGAAAGAGAGTGGGTATTTCCTCAGAAAACTGAAGTTTCAACTTGCAGTGAACAACATAGCAAAGAATCGTTCTGCAACATTTACATCTTTTCTGATGCAGAAGACAACTGAGAGCATGATACGGTATAATTCAATTTATATCACAATCTGATCAAGGTAAATTAATAATCATTCACAATCCTGTAAATAGCAATTGCAATTTAAACATGATATATAAAACTAAGTTTAGCAATGATGAATGAGTAACACATAGTTTCCTCGTAAAACATAAAGAAAGCACATTGAAATACATCTTAGTCATCACTCTTCGTCATGAATTTTAGATATGAAGAACAAGCAAAAAAAATTTAAGAATTATCTCCATCGCATACAAGATACTATCCAACATGGAGAATCAAATTAAAAATTTTAAAAGAGGAAAAAAATTACAAAACTAAACATGATACAAGCCTCTTCAATTTTAAACCTATTGAGAACATTAGAAGCAAAACAAATGAAGCAAACACATCAGATGCAAGATATTATCCAATATACCTGCCTGCTGGTAGGGCTAAGTCATGACATGGGCTGATTTCATTATCTACTTATGGTTGCTACTTCCCTTCTTCTTGAGTAGGCTTCCAAATTTACGGAGCAAAGGCTTCTTCTTTTTGTGTTGCTGTTGCTTTGATGGTGAGTTTCCCCCGTCATCAATGCTTTCTGTGGAACCATTTATCTGATCAAAGCCTTCACTACCCTCCACCTTTGACTCCACTTCCTCCTCAAAGAATTCTTGCTCAGGTTCTCTTCCTGGTGAAAATTCTTTCTTTTCAATTTTGCAGCTCTCCCACATTTTAAACTCAACTTCAACTGAATCATCCTCTTTTCCTTTTGTCTCATCTTCTTTCACTTTTCCATTCACATTATCCACTTTGGCACCATCTGTTTGAAGAGCTTCATCTTTTGAGACATCATTTACCTCCAAAGAATTTTCTTTTTTGGGCTCCTCAGGTTGTTCTGATAGGAGCTCTAACTTGGGCTTCTCTTCACTTCCATGTCCATTCTCTTCTGAAAATTCAACCACCTTAGGCAGCAAATCATAGTCCTTCTCACTGTCAGTTAGATCACCATTTTCCGCACTTTGGCTTTTCATTGTAGCTTCTTCTAACAACTTAGACAATTCCTCCATTTTCTTAAGAGATGCAGCTTCTCTAGCTCGGAGTTCCTCGTTTTCTTGAACGACACTCTGCAATTCAGTTTCTTTATCCAACAAACTCTCCTTCAATTTCATGCTCTCAGTCTTGACCTCCTTCAGGGCTTCTTGCAGATAAATCACCTCAGATTCAACTTCTTTTAGGCTTTCCTTCAACTGAGCTTCTTCCTCCTTAGATGCACAAGCTTCTTCCTCAGTTTGTTTCAGCAAATTTACCAGCCTATTAATTTCTTTTTCCAGAGAAGAATTTTCTTCTTCCGATTCTTTTACACAATTTACAAGATGCAACTCTTTTTGTTCCCACTCAGTCTTGGAATTGTGGTATTCATTCTTGGACTGTTCAATGGAATTTGTAAGAAGATCAATCTCATTTTTTGCACCATCAAGCATGGTTTCATACTTCTCATTTGTTGCTTTCAGGACCAATCGTAGATCCTCTATCTGGGTCTCATAATTTTCATGCTCAGTTTCACTGGACAACAGCTTTTCCTTAGCCTCCCTAGCTTCTGCAGAAACTTCATGTAAGGCTGAAGCTAAGCTTTCCATGGCTTTCTTGCTCTTCTCTTCCTCATCCCTAGAGTTTTCCAACTCATTAATGAGTTTGTTTTTCTCTTCTAAAAGAGTTTGAACACTAGAAGCTGCAAGCTTCTCATTATTTAAAGCTTGGGTCTTTTCTTCCTTCACTGTTTCTAACTCAGTCTTCAGAGATTCAACCAATTTTGCCACTTCAGCAGTTTCTTCCTTAGCCAATTTAATATGATATTCTGATTCCTCAAGATCCCCTCTCTGTCTACCAATTGTCATTTCCAATAATCCCACTTTCTCTTTAAGAGCAGCAATTTCAGATTCTGCATCATGCAATGAATCATTGTTGCTCTCTAATTGCTTCATGACTGAGTCCAGAGATTCTGATGCAGATCTTTCCAACTTCTTTGCTTCCTCAATCTGGATTTCTAATTCTTCAACCCTACTTTGCCATTCCTCTACTACATTGTGTGCATAAGATTCAGCCATCCTCGCAGCTTCTAGATCAACATTAAGTTGTTCAATGAAAGCCTCTTTCTCCATCATCAACTTCTCCTCATGGGTCTTTGCTTTCTCAAGTTCTTGTTTCAATGAATCTATCTCCGCCTTAAGCCTTAACACCTCCTTGTTTTCATTAGCCTCCGTTTCACGCTTCGAATCAAGCAAGGACTTCAACCGAACCAATTCAGCTGAAAGAATCTCCACCTTCTCTGCATGGATTTCAGCAATCTTAGTTGCATCATCAGCATGGCTCAGTGCTTGGTTCTTTGCATCACAAGTCATGGCTAGTTCCTGCTTCACCCTTTGAAGCTCCTGAGTAGTAGAGAGAAGAGCAGCCACATCCAAAGCATGCTGGTTCCTCACAGATTCAATTTCTTTCTCCCATTCTTCATCTTTCTTCTGAGCAGCCTCAATCCCAGCCTGTTCCAACTCAACAGCCCGGAACTTCTCAATCTCAGAGCTCTCTTCAGCTCGCTTTTGTGCAACCAAAGCCTCTCTAAGCTTTTCATTTGCTTCTTCAGCTGCTTTCTGTGCTTCTTTCAGTTCATCAATTGCTTGTGCCTTCTCTTTCTCAATCAAAGATATTTGCTCCTTTGCTTTCTTTAAGTCCTCCTGTAACACATTCAATTGAGCCTGCAATTCCGATCCCTTACCCACCCGTGTTTGTGGTTTCTGAAAATCAAAACCAATCAATAATGTAAATGAAATCCCATTAGTTTCCACAATTGAAAAACTAGACGCATGTTTGATTCTCTTTCCAAAAACCAGTTTTCCTCTCCAAACATCAAAAGATACAAAATGTTATAGAGAACACATTTCTATTACATTTTATTTCTCCTAAAAGTCAAAAGTAAAACTTCTTTTCATAAAATTACTCAAAAATACAACACATTATCCAAAAGCATCAAGAATAAGCTTCCCACACTCCAGCATCCTCTTAAATGGAATACTATATTGATGAATCCCTTTTAATCTTTAATTTTTTTGCAGGCCAGAAAATTACTTCCTGTACCCAAAAAATGTGCAAGATCAAATGCAGTAATATTTCACAGGCATTACTAAAAGACTTACTTCAGGCTGCGTGGCAACCTTTGGTGATCTACGATCAATTGTAGCCTTTGAGTTAAGGGATGATCGCGGGGATCGTTCAACTGAGTGGCGAGTAGTCTGCAAGGGAGAGGGTGAATCAGGTTCTGATTTAGCCAGTCCCCTGCTTACTTTACTTGCCACTCTAGGTGTTGCTGGTGAAGCCTTGCTAGGAGTTTCAGACAAACCAGATCTGTTTAAATGTTCAAAGTGTCATATGTTAATCGTTAAGACCAAAGTCCCATTATCTTAAACACACAAAGCAAAACATATAAACAAAATTCATGCGGAATTCATATTAAAGATGGATCTATGCTAAATATGCCAACTATTTTACACATAATTTAACAAAATCAAATTAGTCTATCAAATTTATACATATATACATATGCATTTTAAATAACACATTTGGAAACTTGAGAGAAATAATCTTAAGATAATAGGCAAACCCATGAAGCAAAGGAACTAAAGGAAAACACTCATAAAAAAAAGGTCAGGATTATGAATATGGTAAAATTAAGTTAAACCCATTTGAAAAAGAGAATCAAGGAACTAAATTGACCAAAAAAGGTGAGAACTTGAGTGTAAAAAAAGAGTAGAGCGGCAAAGTAAGTGACAGAGAGAGAGAGATTAAGTGTTTAAATTTCAAAATAGAAGAAAAAAACACAACCCCCAAGAACAAAACCATCATAAAGCAGATCCAACATAGTCCCAGAATTTACGATTAAACATATCAAATAAAAAGGAAAACAAAAACCAAAACAAGGAGTCCAACAAAGAAACAAAAAATAACCCAAGTCAGATCTACTCTAAAATTAAAGAATTAAGGAAGAAAACTTGAAATTTTAGAGAGAAAAAGAAAAAAAGAAAGTTAGTGTAACTTACTTGGATTTAGCAGACATGTTGATAATGAGAAGAAGCAGATAGCTGAAGAAGTTGTTTCTTTAACAAGAAAAGAGAAAGAGAGGAACTTGGAGACAGCTGCTGCTAGCTAAAATGCCGACATTTTAGAAGAAGAGAAGAACAAATGCAATGTTAAATATAACTGATGAACTCTTTTTTCTTTAGCTATCCAGATCAGAAAGAGAGAGAGAAATGGCTCTTTTCCTTGTTTTTCTACAATCCCATGATAAGATTTAACAAGAAAGAAGAAGAACAAGATGAAGAAAGAAGAAAATTTAATCAAACCAAATTATTTTGGTTGGTATTCCTTGTCTCCAGAGTGCCCACAACAACATAAAGAACACCAACGCAGCACATACCTTGAAACTGCTATGTCTCTTTTTTTTTTTAACTTCTTTTACTTTGTTTCTTTTTAGGCATGAGGAGATGTTAGGAAGTTACAGAAATAGCCCTTGCCTGTTTCTTTGGACTGTCAAAGATGTAGGTTACTTTTTCAGAGGCAGAGACTTGAAAAATACTAGCTGCCAATCCTTACCCCTGCTTTTCTGGAAAAAGAAGAGAGCTAAGAGGGGAGACTGGGTCACACTCATGGTGGTTCCAATGGAATGTTGCATGTGCATATGCCCACTCTACTTAGAATTTCGACTCTGTTTTCCCTTCTATTTTTTTGAATGTTTTACAAAAAGAAAAAGAACTCAACAATCCAATGGAAAATATGAGTTAAAAAGTTAAAAGATGCAATAAATATACAGTGTAACAGTCCATATGTGTTTTAAAAGGCATTTGATTAAATAAAGTTCCTTGCATTTATCTTAATTAAATTCTTTAAAATAGAAGTATATCAAGTATTATTGAAATATTTGTTTAATATTAATTAAGGTCATAAGATAAGAATTGATATAACCCCTTTGTTTCTTTATTCATCTCATTCTTGGTAGTCAGATTCCACCCAATATTTTTTAAATAAAAGAAGTAATCTATAATAGAACTATCATAGTTGTTGAAAAAGAAGGAATATGGTTATATTACCCAGAAAAAGGAATATAATTTTAAAAAAAGAAAAAAACACATTTTATCATGATAATTTGATAGAATAACTGCCCTAGCTTGCTAAAGATAGTTTAATTATTTTAATTAGAAGAATCCAGATTGTACAATAAAAAAAAATTAAGTAATGCTCCATTTAAACAAAGAGATAGTATTGAGCTACCAAAATCATTAATGAGTGAAATATGGCTTAAATGAAAGAAATTTGGTGAAATCATTTGGCTTGCTTTGGTTTTTCTTGGATGAAAATGAAATGCCACTACTCCCTTAAAGCCTAAGAAAATAACATCAAAATCTTACCTCAAGTCTAGTAAGGACAAAGCTAGTCATTTTCATATAAAGAAGGGGTTCTATTTTTAAGTTGATTTGTCCATCTACCACTCTAATTTAACTCTAATCCACTAACAGCCTGTCCCTACTTAAGCAGAATATGGTTTGCATTAGGCTAATTAAACCTTTTGTCAGCTAAATAACAAGGGAATTTAAAATATTCATTATATTATGATTAAATAAAATGATGTACAACACTCATAACAAGACGTTTCAACTATTAAAATTTATTAATTTGATTTATATACAATTTAAAAGTCTCGAGTTTGAATTTTATGTTATGAGTAAAAAAATTATTCCTCATCTATAAATAATTCAGTATCATTCCTTTTAAAAAGAAAAGGGGATTAAACATATGATATAAAAAACTAGAAATGGTGTCATTTCATTAGAGTGGTTGACACTAATATCCAAATTATCACTTAAAAGGTAGCACTTTATGAAGAGAGAAAAAAAAAAAAAACAGGATAAGATGTGCTCACTAACTTGAAAAAGTCAATTCAACAATCTGCTAATCATGATTTGATTTAATGGCAACTCTACTAAACACATATTATGGGATGAAAACCTTCAAAATTAAATCTTAACAAATAGCAACCTTTTCTTGTACACGACATTATCACTATTGCTCTTTCTGTGTGTGAAGAGATATAATTATATATCTAATACTATAATCATATATATATATATGCATGTTTTAACCTAATTAAATTATTTAATTTAATTCTTGTTCCTTTAATGGTAATTGATATGTATATATATATATATATATTTAATTTTAATTTTTTAAACAAAAGATATATATATTTTGTATCGAATAAGTGATATATGCATTGTCATTTAACAGTAACAGTAACATGTACATATTTGTTTATATATAAGAAAATTGTACACCCAAATTCTGGTTCAACTTTACTGTCTATTCCAAGATCGAGTGGTTAAGGGTCCAATATCTGTTAATTAACTAGAGAACAATTATTACTGATTAGAGTAGGTATTGACTACAAACTCAATTAGTTTGATCATTAGATTATATGAATTAAAAGAGTTAGATGGAGCCAAGACCTACTGCCACACCTTTGCATATTATTATTATTATCTAGAGAATGAAGGTACTTCAGTTGGTTAGCTTTCAACTTCTACAATGCTCTTACCATAGAAATCTAAAATTCAACCCCGGACCAGAAATCTAATTATTAAAATTTTAAATTTTATCTCAAAAATTTCAGATTTAAGATCTAGAAAATGGGGTCGAAATTTATGGAAAAAGGGAAAAAAATTTCTGTAATCTAAAATTAAATGAGTCTCTAATAATAAATAATAATAATTACAAATATTAGGGTAGTCAATAGTCATGATTCCCAAAGTACATTAAAGAACAAGGTTAAAATGAGGGTACCAACCGCCCGATTTGACCTTTAATTAATCAAACTCAGCCTACGGTACATTAATCTGGGAATACTAACTTTCCAAGAGAGGTATGTAAATTTTAAAATAGAATAATTACATGGCGTAACAAGCAAAGCTGAGTTTCAATTGCACATTGAAAAGAGACTACCTTTTTTGTATGGTGGGGAAGATGACTAGCAACCAACAAAACTTTCCCCTTATTTTCTTATGGTTGGGATCAAATTGATTGGAATTATAATTAGATTAAAAATTAGGTGGGACTTTACCTTTATGAAGTTGTAACCAAACCCTCTCCACCCTTTGGAATTATTGATTGGTTTCCATGTTCATCAGTGGGACTGACTGACTGACAGAGCTCTACTCTCTCATATGGCTTTGTAAATTTGGTGAAGATGCTTTTCTCATGAAATTGAGTTAGTCTAGTAAATTTAATTTGGGGGGTATAAGCTAAAACCGATCTCTTTGCTGCATTTAAGAACCTCTTGGTTCATGTTATTGTGTAATAGGCAATTATTGAAGGTTTAATTGATTGGGTCCACCAAGCTTTCAAAAGCTTGAAATACAATAATGCAAGTGTTAGTTATGATATATTACCATTTATTTTCTAGCTAAAAAAAATACAAATAATCTATGAAAACTTTTAAAAAAAAAAGAAAAAAGATTTACTATCAACAGTAGATAAAAAGGACAAATGACGAAATTTGTAAAACGAGTTGTGTAAAAATCATTTTCTCACTTATCAAAAGTCATTCATCAAAAATAACATTTATGCAAGAGATTAATAAAACGAGATCGTAAAAATCAATTGTCGACCACGAAAGATGAAACTCCAAAATATCTCCAATAATTCTCTTTAATTACCGATAACACCTTATTTTAATTATACAAAAAATTCAAAGAATTTTAAATTTAAAATTTAAATTAAAATAATACGATTGTAATTATGATTTTTACGATATGTGTAACCTTATGAAAAGAATTTTTTTTTTCTTCGATTGGACTGTTATTCCTAAATAACGATGAGCCAAGCTTTTGAAATGCTAAATTGTTAGTAGAAAATAGTTGAGGAGGGACAATCCATATAGTTAGTAAGCTTTCCCCATCTATGCTAAGTGGAATTGCGATTCATGTTTATTCCAAGAGGAGCCACGACATTGGGTTGATGAAGTAAATGACAAATTTTAATGATTATTAGATTAGCCCAAATCACACGGTACGTTAGACGTCAACCTTGTTAGTTAAAAATTAACCTTGTTTGAAGCAATCCATTTAGAGAAAGTTGGGATATGAGAGCTTAGGTTTAACGACAGCATTCTTTTAGCAGAGATCATGGATTTCAATTCGACTTTTTCATTTATATTTGATATATTGATAATATATATTAATTTATTAAAAAAATCATTTTATCATTTAATAAAATATTTAATTTTGAATTTTTTTTAATTTTAAATTGGTTTAGAGATATAAATATATATTTATTAATTTTAAATTGTAAAATTAATAGGAATATAAATTTTTTTTATACATATGACTATTTTAAAGAGGAGTAACAATCGCTTTTATAATTTTCTCAATTTTTTCACAAACCATCTTCCTGAAGTAATAAAAGATCAAATTTTTTTTCATGCATTTGTGATCCACTTTGCTGGATTGTTGCTATTGTGGCCAAATATTTTATTTAGACTTCCTTTCAAGTTTTTAAATTAAAATATAAGTAGATGATAATAATTGAAGCTTTTGAGATTTCGTGATTCAAGTTATCAATTTTTTCTTTTAAAAGCTTAACCATTAAAGAGAATATTTAGGGAACTTTTATTTTTTAAAAAAAAAAAATTAAAAGGATAGCTTTTGTTGAAGTTGAACCCACAACTTAAAACAAAGTGGACCAAAGAAAAATCTATGAAAAAAGCAAAATGTTGATGACTGATCTTAGCAATCACTTCACCTTAAAGCTGTGGTCCTTGCAAAATTTGAAGAAAAACTGCACAAGATATTATCTGTGTTTTCATCTTTATTTATTTATTTATTTATTTTTCCTTTTATACTAAATGCTCTATCTTACCTCAACTAAACCTCAATAAAAAACAAAATTAAGCTGCCATTGCATAAAGGGTTGGGTGGGAGTACTTGAGTTCATCAGCTTCACTTTGTCGTTATTCTAAATTAATAAAACTAAGTTTTATGATTCAATTAAAACTTATAATAAATAAGAAACATGAAATCACATGAGAGACAGGCAGATGGAGATTTCGCAAAGCTTTTTTCATGCATAATAAATTAAAGGGTTTTGAATTAATGTAATTTGGTTAGGATATTAATCCTCTGTGACAAGAATAACGTTCCATTATCATGGGCCATGTGCTGGATTCCCTCTAAATCAATTGGTCTAATGGTTGTTAGGTCCGCTTATTTTCTGCCAAATTAATGATCCCATTTTCTGTTCTTTTTTTTTTT